AAAAAAGAATGTATTTGGAAATGTGGAGGACTGCGAGGAAGTAACAGCAACAGAGGCAACCACTACGCCAACGCCCGCAACAGCAACAACAGCGTCTAGCGATGTTGTAACCGCGGCAACAACAGTTGCAGATAGCACAACTGCAGCAACAACAGCAGAAGCTACAGTCAGTGAGATAACATCACTAATACCAATAACAGACACAACGGCAACTGTATTAACCACACCGGCAGACACAACAACAGCAACAACAACAACCACTACAACGACACCAACACCAACAACAACAACAACAACAACAACAACAACGGGAGCGGCTGAACTCAATACAATAATGGAGAAGAACTTAATTTAAAGTACATAGGAAACGAAACGAATAGTTTTTCATAAAAAAATTATTAACCGCAACAATAATAATAATAATAACAATTAACACTAATAATAATAATTATAATAATTAATACAATTATAAATAATACAATACTAAACAATTTGTGAGCATCCATCAATTGACATTGTGAATTGTTTGGGTGGTTTCACTGTGGGGCAGACCGTTGTAAATTAAACAAAAAGAGAGGAAAACTAAACAAAACAAAGTAAAATAGAAACAGAAACAGAAAATATAAAACTAACAAACAGATACAACTAAAACGAGACTTAAACGCTAGTAGTTATTAACAAATGAAACATAGGCAAAACCAAGAATGAGAATACGAAAAGCGATAATTAGCCGAAGTCAAATGCGAATGGAGTGCAAGAATAGTAAACATTAAGCAAGGGTATGTACCAACAAAGGTGTTTAAATAGTTATTGTACTTTACATTTACCTAAACAAATTGCATACATGCGTACACTTTAATACACTTACACAAAACACACATATTTACCCAAAAACACTCACGCATACACAAACACACAACACACACACACACTATGATGGTTTAAGTTGCACGTTAATAGTACGAAAAAATTGTATTTATATATAGTATATATAAATGATGTATTACGCATTGAAAGCGAGCAATCTAAAGATTAACTGAATCAAATAAAACCAACTAAAATGAAACAAATGCATGCATACATACATACACACATACATACTTAGGAATGAAAAACAAAATATAATTAATTCGGCTGGATTGTCATAACGGCTGCGTAAATATTTCAATTAAGGCAAGCAAACCAAATTGCATCTTCAGTACTCATCAAGCCACAAGTGTCGCGGCATGCGTTTCAAAACCAAATTCAATCTTCAGACTGAAAATTGAATGCGAAATCAAAACGAAAGCAAATTACAGTATATAACGCCCGAGTTGATACACAAACGTGGACTAAGAGATAAAGGGGAAAATATTTAAAGAAAAAAAACAAAAACAAAATAAAAGAGTGCGTAAAATAATCTTGATTATGTTTATACTAAGTATATATAAATATATTTTAATTATTTAGTGTTTTTTGTATTAAGTGAAATTTGTTAAACATTTATTAAATTATTATGTTTTAAGTTGCAAAATAAACGCGAAATGTAAGCAAAATAATGCTTCAATTACTTTTCTCATACTCTTCTGTTGTTTCACGAGCCACACACAGCAAAGCAAAGAACAAAGCAATAGATCAATCCGATATACACAATGAAATATGACATTGTTACTGTATTTTATAATTTACATATTTTACATATGTATGCCTGTGAAGAGTGTGTGCGATCAAGCAAGAAAAACACACACACATTATGCATAAATTTAACGAACAGCAAAGAAAAACCTAACGAAAAACAAATAATAAAATAAATGAAAACTAAATTTTTTTTGCTAATTTACAATGTTTTTTTTTTTTTTAAGGCAGGCACTATTGGCTATGTCAAATGAAGACCATATTTTATATAATATAAAACAATATACCCAGTATTTTATTTGATTGTCAAGGGACAAGTTATAACAGCTCCATTAAATGGATATATTTACGCTTAATTCTAATAAATGCACGTGGTTTAGCTTAAAACTGGTCAACGATCAATATCGAGGCACAGCAATAAAAGCAACAATTAAAGTTTTGTACATAATAAATGCAACAAGTTTCAGCTGAACCCCATTCGATGGTTCCTTAGTTGCTGAGGTCGTCGTCAACGAATGTTATGACTGCCGCGCCCTTGGCCATGTTGTCGCCAACAGCTCCGCCAATCGACTTAATTGTAGCATCCTTTGGGGCTTTCAAAATATGCTCCATTTTCATAGCTGTAGGTGACGATAAATAAAAGTTGGAGATTAAATTCATAAAAGATCTTATGATTAACTCACCAATAAGCACAGCTAGACTGTCGCCCTTCTTGACTACATCTCCGGGCTGCACCAAAATTTTTTCCAAGACGCCAGGCATGGGTGCCACCACACGGGAGCCGCCGCTGCCCAGCTGATCAGCTTGGGCGCTTAGGAATTTCGGCTGCACCAGCTCAAAGTCCAGTTTGCCATTCTTTGTATATAAATGAAAATTCAACATAGTGAGCAATTTAAGGCATTGTTTTTATGAGCTTGCTTACCTCCAAGAATAGCGTTACATTGCCGCCGTCGATGTTGGCACTGTAGGTGGATATGTTGCCATTAATGTTGGCGCGTATCTTCAAGCGTCCCTCATCCTGCACGCGTTCCGCCTTAATCACTTGCCAAGCGCCGCCGTCGACGCGGATTTCGATGTCTCCATTGTCATACTTTACATCCACGGCATAAACTACAAGTGAAGAGGGCTTAGTTCATATTTTTTGGCGACGTTTCAAATGTTATACCTTTCTCGTGTGCCTTCAAGCTATAGCTGCGAATTAGTGCGTAATTCAAGCGTATATTTGCTGCTGCAGCAAAAGGATCCTGCCCACTGCTGGCATTGCTATGCGCAGCCTGAAGTTCATTGAAGATCAGCGACAGAGCGGCTTGGCTCAGTTGCCGCTGTTCAACGACAATTGGCGGAAAGAGTGTATCAAAGTGTTCATCGATGAAGCCGGTGTGCACATTAGCTTGCTGGAACTCCGGGTGGGAAGCCAAGTCAATGAGAAAATTGATGTTTGTCTCGAGGCCAGAAATCTAGAAATGGCATTACATCATATCAATTCATTCATAAACAGTCAAATTAACTACTCACATGATATTCGCTCAAGCGCGCAATCAGAGAGTTTAGCGCCTGCGTGCGATTCTCGCCCCAGACGACCAATTTGGCAATCATGGGATCGTAGTGCACAGATACCTCATCGCCTTCTCGCACGCCCGTCTCCACACGCACCTCAGCACTTGGCTTGGGGGTGTTCAGGTAGCGCAAAGGACCGGCGCCGGGCAGAAAGCCACCGCGTGGATTCTCTGCATATATGCGTGCCTCGAACGCGTGGCCACGGCGTGTGATCTGGGCCTGAGTCAGCGGGAGTGGTTCGCCAGCGGCAATGCGAATCTGCCACTCGACGAGATCGGTGCCGGTTATCATCTCTGATATGGGATGCTCGACCTGCAGACGCGTATTCATCTCCATAAAGTGAAATGATAAATCCTCTTTATCCAGTATAAATTCAACAGTGCCCGCACCCACATAGCCCACGGCCTTAGCTGCGCGCACGGCAGCTTCGCCCAGTTCGCGGCGCAGTTCTTCCGATAAACCAGGCTAAACGTTGGGAAAACCATTTTGATTATTTTGTTTAGCTTTCAGTCAAGATTCTGACTCACCGCTGGTGCCTCCTCAATAATTTTCTGATGCCGACGTTGTACGGAGCAATCGCGCTCCCATAGGTAGACAGCATCGCCATATTGATCCGCAAACACCTGGACCTCCACGTGGCGGGGAGAACGCACGTAGCGTTCGAGCAGTACAGAACTATCGCCAAAGGCCTTCAATGATTCAGTGCGCGCCGAGTTCAAAGCTGTGAGAAAATCTTCGGGTTTCTCTGCAATTCTCATGCCCTTACCGCCTCCACCACGAACCGCCTTGATCATTAGGGGAAACCCAATTTTGGCAGCCTCTGCCTGCAGGCACGCATCCGATTGGTCATCACCATGATATCCATTAATGATGGGCACTCCCGCAGCTGCCATAATGGCCTTGCTGGTACTCTTGATGCCCATGTCGCGAATCGCTGAGCTGGGTGGACCCATGAAGATGACACCTTCCTTTTGACACAGCTCCGCAAACTCCACCGACTCGGAGAGAAAGCCATACCCGGGATGTATTGCTTGGGCACCCGACTTTTTGGCTATCTCGAGAATTCGGTCGCCACGCAAATATGAGGCCGCCTCGCCAACTCGGTATGCTTCGTCAGCCAACTCAGTGTGCAGGCTGTGCTCGTCGGGATCGGAATAGACAGCCACAGTACGCACACCTAGTTTGCGGGCAGTTCGGATGACGCGACATGCTATTTCGCCTCGATTGGATATTAAAATTTTGTTGATCGGCCTAACCTTTGGGGTAGCTTTTGTGGCCAAGCACCTGCAGAAGGTACAAATGTTTATGTAACAATTATCAACGCACGAAATAGCATCAATAGTCATCTAAATATTACTTGATTTCCTAGTTATTTATTACCTGACGCTGCTGCCAAAACTTTGCAAGAGTCTTGCGTACATTTTTAGGCTAGCTGATGTAAATAATTAATAAAAAATACAATTTTTTATTGCTAGCTGTGTTATCACGATCAACGCGAAAACACCTGTTTTAGCGGTTCGCGCAACAAGCACGACGGTACATCGATTGTCCTCATATTAATCGATAGCACAAACAGCTGAGCATTGTATTGTTGCGATTTTGAATAAGTTTAAAAATAGTTGGCAGCTTAATAATGTAAATTAAAGTTGCAATTTTATATAATTTTAAAATTACTTATACAACTATTTATATATTTTTTTTAAATATTAATTTATTAAAACAAATAGCGGTAATCAATTGGAAAAATGTGTTCCGAGCTAGTGGAGCGATTGTTAGCGAATTTAGTTCGATAACACAATTTAATAATCGAACCAATGCGGAGCGATAACAGTAGTGACCGGCGAAAAATTAGTCAAAAAGGCACAATAAGATTTTGCGATTTGAGGGCCTTTCTGCAGCTGTAAGATTTTAAGGTGAATTTGTAGTCTGAGATTAAAGTCAAGCAGCTGTTCTTATTTAAATACTTAGAAATACTTATTTCAGACTTCCCTCATAATAGGGCTTCATTGAAAGCGTCTCCAACGGGATTGAAGCATGGACAAACGCGTCACTGTGCTAATGCCCAATGGTCGTCGGCAAAATGTCAACGTGAGGGCCGATATGACATTACTGGAGATCCTGGAGACGGCATCGGCCAAGCATGGCTACGACAGCGAAGAACATTGCCTCAAGTTCCACAATAAGGATGTGAGTCTCACACAGCAATTCCGCTTTAGCGGTCTACCCAACAACTGTGTCCTGGAAATGGAGCCCACGGATAAGCGGCGGCCGGTGAGCAACGTTGTCGTATGCATTCAGCTAAATGATGGATCACGCGAGCAAGGCGAGTTTGTGCCAAGCACCAACGTCTGGACCGTGGTGAATGAGCTGTGCAGCTCGCATTTGGAGGAATACGAGAGTCCTGTTATCATTTACATGCGTAGTGAGGTAATCGGTGTGGAAAAAATGCGTGAGACAACGTTAAAGTCGCTGGGAATACTCGAGGGACGTGCCATGATGCGGCTGATCGACAAAAAGCCAGAAGACCTCAAAAAGCAAGCCAACGTATATAAACCGGCCGTGGTAAAAGATAAAGTCAAGGACGACGATTTGCCCAGCACCTCGCGCTCAGTCACGGGTCCATCTAGTACCGGTGGCGGTGGCTTTGCAATTACCAATGATTTGTTGAAATCACTGAAGCGAACAGCACCCAACGAAAGCCCAGCCACGAAACCTGAACCCGAAGTTCCTGCCGAAACGAAGACGCAGAAAAGTGAGCCTGAGCAGCCGAAATATGACTGGGGTAGCGGCTCGGGCTATCAACTGCACAATCAAAACAACGAGGCGCGCTACGAGAATGTTGAGGATGAACAATTCGTAAAGAAGCCTCCAATTGTAAATATAATTGGTCCACGAAACGCCATAGTATTCTCGCTGGATTCTGCCAACAGGCACAACGATGAATTGCCCGATTCGTTCTTCGACTTGACTGTCAACGATTTAAAAATGGTGCTGCGCGATCTGAAGCGTACTGCCTCTGGCACGGAGGATGCGCCGCTGCTTACGTCCAATCTGCGCGAACTGGAACGTCAAAAGGCGATGCTGGCTAAGCTGAACCAATACAAGGACTGCGTGCTGCGCATTCAATTCCCCGATCGCCATGTGCTCCAGGGCATATTTAAGCCCCATGAAATGCTCGATAAGGTGGTGGAGTTTGTACGCGGCTTTCTGGCGACACCAAGCGAACAGTTTCAGCTGTTCACCATACCGCCGAAGAAAATCTTGCCTGTGAACGAGACTCTGCTCGAGCTCAATTGCGTGCCGAATGCGGTACTGCATTTTCTATTCGTTAACGAGAAGCTAAACGCAAAGACCAACAAATTCCTACAGGACAAATATATCGCTCAGCTGACCTCGGAAGAGGGTGCTCTCTTTGCAGTGCAAAAGTACCGCATCGCCAAGGCTGGCGTCAGCTCTAGTTAGTAGTCGCATTGAGGCGGCCTTAAGCGAACAGTGAACGTGATATCAAAATGAAACTCGCATTTTAATTGTAAGGGCGACGAGCTATTGGAGCACTGCTTCAACCGTTTGTACAATGCGCCTGGCATGGTTTAATAAACATTTGATCCAGGTTATAAATCCGTTTTGTCAGCACTGCAAATAAAGTCAATCTCATTTACGAGATAATACTGAATTTTCGGCTGTTACCATATTTAGAGCTACTAATGACAGGACACGCGGCATGAAGAGCTTTGGGATGGCTCGAGCCACAGCTCGGTAAAAGGTGCCACAGCAGTGCACTTCCTTTCTCGGGCTTGATGGTTAGATTCAGTCTGGGAAATATTGTAGCGCCGACCAATTCCACATCCTCCAACTGTTATAGAAGAATCTTGTTCATAATACCCATTTTAGAAGTCCCAGGCACTTACGTAAAACAATACTGTGGCTATGAGATTTTGTGGTCGCTCCGCCTGAAAAATATGAAGCTGGCTGATCTGTCTGGATCTGTAAAGGATATATGAGTTTATATACCGTTTCGGGAGCAACCTCTTGCAGCTGGAAATGTCCACCAATGTCATAGTTTATTGCAGATAATTCTTCGGAGCGATCTAAGTTAAGGCCCGACATATCTGCCACTCGCTCAAGGATAGTCTGGTCCAAGTTATCCTTGCCAGAATCTAGATTAGGTTCCTGTCCTTTTAGCAGAGCTTCAATTTCGCTATTATAAATAGCTTCGTGATAAAGCACAATGAGTGGATCCAGGCTGAGCTCCTCCAGTTTGAGTGGTGCGATGCGCAGAAAAGGCGTCATCCAGTTGTTATAGCGACAATGCAGGTGTGTGGGTCGGTGAAATCTAGCTGAGCAGTGTTCCCTAAGGATGGCCAATGAGATCAGCTCATCGTCGTACTCTAGTATATCCTCCGCCTGATTCAAGTGCCACACACCAAGTGAATGCTCCCTGCGCCTTACTAGCAGTACACCCAGCCATTTGTGTATCTGTTTCTTACTGAAATCGTACACAGTGTACTTATCCTCATTCCTCTTATCGTATAACGTAAGTGAGATATTAAACCAAACTTCGGCCTTTGAATATTCCCTTTTCCTGTAGTTAAACATTCCCAGTGCATAGCAATCCAAAGAGTTGAGAGCAGAGCTGGGTGTAGAAATAATATTAAAAGTAGTTTATTCGGAAGGCTTTAACTTACTCCGGCTGTGAGTGGTTTAGAAGAATACCATTTGCCAAGTCTTTGGGATGTAGTTGATAAAACTTAATCAGTGTCTCGATACTGCGCAGCGCTTCCGTCAGATCCACAGCTGTGGGTAACCTGGTGCGCATGTGGTGCGCAAAGGCAATGTATTCTGCTGGCATAAGAGAGCTTATAAAGCTGCATTAGTAGTATAAATTATAATAATACCCCCTCCAATTCTTTGCTCCATAAACAAAGCCCATTTGTGCCAATCCTGTTGCTGGTGTCGTATGAGAGCGAAACTGCTAAGTGGATTGCTCAGATATGCCTCAAAATCGTTGCTCATGCTGTTTGCCTCATCACGAAACTTAACAAGGGCCCTAAAGAATATAAATTGAAAATATATCGAAACAAGTCTAAATGCACTACTTACTGTTGCGTTAGGTCAAGTTTCGATTTAAGTTCTTTCACATATTCATGCAAATTGTCTTCCAGCATCTCTTCTACATCCAACAGGTCCTTCACCACTTCTGTTGATGAGGCATGAGATTTTTGTTTTACAAGATTCTCCAATGCAGCTGCTGCAGTACAGCTGAAATATATTTGGATAAGGCAATGCATTATTTTGATCACCCTCATTTTATTTTATAGTCAAGTAATGATTTGTTTTCAGTGAACTGTTAGTTGAAGTTTTGCGCAAGTCCATTAAAACGATTCGTTTTGCATAAGTTGCAATGAAATTGTAATTTGCTACGACTTAATTAGCTGCCGGCTGAGATTGATAAGATTGACTTATACTTACATATATTTGCGGTGATTTCTTAAGCAACCCTCGCCATATATAAGTGTATTGTCGATAATATACATATGTACATTTATATTAATATGATATATATATATATTTAAAACTACAAAAATTAAAGATAATTATAAAAAAAAATACTATTAATTTTCTCATTTCTACTTTTAATTTTTTATTTTAAGATCAGCAACTATTCAGACTACTTCTATAACATTAACTATTACTTATCACTCACTTAATCTCTTATCAGTTGTTCACTTTTCATTTGAAACTCTTTCAGTTAACCAGTGTTGGTGAATGTCTGCCATCCAAGGCCCACATGTGGAGAGAGACACGCTCAGAGCTCAGAGTCTGCTGCTGTTGGCACGCATGCGCGAAGCTGTCGACGCTTTCGAAACCGAGCCAAAAGACCAAAGAGGCCAGCAGAGCTCGGCTTTGGCTGGCTGCGGCCACAATTTGTGAATCATATTCAGAGTTTTCAGTCGTTGGCCGCTCGTTGAAGCAACTAGTTTCGTATAACGCGCATTCGAATGCGATTCGAATTGTATTCGTAAACGCAGATCGGTAAAGGAGACAGTTACAATAACACAAATACAAATGCAACTGCAAATACAGATATATGCACATGTGTATATACTAAATATATACATAATAAGATATATATGTATATATATATTCAATTTAATAACAACAACAAATGGCCAGAATGCGTGCCAATGTGAAAAAGTGAAATAGATATTCGAGTCTATTAGCTGCGGCGAGGCCGTTGCCTTTTCATCAATAGATTAACAATCATTTATGAAAATGTGTGAATTTGTTAATGAATTAGAGCGACAGCGCAAAGTGCGCTAATTTAAATGAAACCGAAAAATACGCTAACACAATAAAGCTCTCAAACGAATTTAATAAAAGCGTAACGCAAACAACTTTTACCTATGATTTTTATCTTTTTACAAGTTTTAAACGCAGAATCGTCGCACGTTGACTATTGCTTTGGTTGTTGTTGTTGTTGTTGTTGTAGCAATAGGCGGTTGAACGTGCTGACATTTTTCGTTTTTTGGGGGGCGTGGCAGCGACAAACAACACGAAAAAAAACAACAAAAAATTATGGCGCGAGAGCCAAGAAATCAACCAAGCGGCCCCACTAACTGATTGGAAAGTGTTCGGTCCGCTACGCTAAACGAAATACAACAACAACAAGCACATATGTATAAAAGAAAAAACAAACAGTAAAAAAACTGGCATTTTAGTTAAATATCAACTACAGTCATATTTCTTTCTATATATGAAAATTATATATCAAATCAATTTATTAATGGAAATGCCAAACTCTTTCAGCCCACGCCGCTGGGGCTGAGGCAGAGGCTGCGGCTCTTCACTTTTACTTTAAACGGAAAGAGAGAGTGTTTGTCCAGCACATTTGCGTTTCTGTTTACCGGTTTTTTACTTTGTTTTGTTTTAATTTTTGTTTTCAACAACGGCAATTGCTTATCTGATATCTAACTTTGTTTTCTCAGCAGGCAGTCAAATAAATAATATGTGCATATATAATACAAGTCTTCATATATTGTAAAGAGAGAGAGAGAGAGAGAGAAGAGAGGACTGTAATAGGTTCATTAAATTTAATTAAATCAACTACTTCCGAGTCGGCAACACTCATCTCCGGCAGCACGAGTCGTGCATAAAGCCATTTAATGATAAACCCGTGCCTATATCGTTGTAAGCGTTTTATTTTTCCCTTTTCATAGGCGCATTAAAAAACCTAAAAAAAAAAAAAAACAACTTAAATTTACAATTGCTTACGCTTACAGTTTTCCATTAAAGCTTTTCAGTGTGTGCAAGTGCGTGAGTGTTTTTTCGTTCCACTAGGAAGTTGGCAGCCAAAAATCTGAACGAAGCTAACAAAAACTAACAAAACAAACGACGCGACGTTTCGCCCCTTCGAATCACAAAATTAATCAAAATAAATATTAAATATAGTTGAAGAAAATGAATTTCTTCGTTATTGGATTCCTGATCATGCAAGCGGCAAGTGAGTAAATCGTAGTTTTTGTTCAGAAACTCATTCATTGCGGTGTTGGTCGAACCACAAGTTCAATCTTTAATCTTCAATCTTCAATCTTGTTAAGTATTTTTTGTTGTGTGGCTTGTTTTATTTATTTGTGAGAGTCAGTCTTAAATTTCTTTATATCAAAACGAGTTTGTCTCTTAAGTCTTTCGTTTTATTTTTTTGCCAATATAAAACATGTAATATAAGTTTTTCATGCACTAATCACGTTTTTTCCAATAATTGGTATGGTAAATCAAGTTTGTGCCTTAAGTCTTTTATTTACTTTTTTTAGTTTACTTTTTACATATATATATTTACATATATTTATATATAAATATACTTTTTATATGTAAATATATATATGTATATATATGTATATGTATATAAATATATATATATTTTTTTTTGTAATATCTGTATTATAAATTGACTCAATTAATCTCAATTATATATTCGTCTTTTTTTTTTTGCATTTTCAACCAATTATTCGGTTATTTTTTATAGAAATGCCTTTCACATGGTTAAAGTTTGTGCTCTAAGTCTTTTGTTTCTTAAAGCCATTTATTGTTACACACATTAAACATTTGTTTTAATTAATAATTACTTTAGATGGACATAATTTGGAATTTGCGCTCATTTAAATCAAGTTTGTGTCCTAAGTCTTTCGTTTTCGCTGCTTTGTCCACATAATTCTTACCGCACTTTTCGGTTGTTAACCCGAAAATTCTTTTGCATCACATAGGAGTGATGCGCATAGTTTATAGAAGACCGGCTGAAGATGACATAAAAAAGTTGCTCTCTGCATAAGTGACAAGGCAGCGGAACAGGTTATACATGGTCTAAATTACAAATGGTTTGAGATGAGCAGTAAATTTAATTAAATTTAAGTCATCTGCTCAGTGCAGGTGGGCAGTGTTAAATATAAAAGAAAAAAGATTTGAAAGACTTGGAAAAAAAAAATAAATAAAAACAACTGCAACGTGCGCATAAAACCATTTGATTGCAACGCTCTTTAAGACTCTGTTGCAGTTTCTCGATTGGTTTTCATTTTGTTATACCCTGTTTCTATTTGAATGGGGTAGCATGCAATGAGAGCTACAGTAGCATTCATGGATATCATTTTACCAAATGATAACTGAACTGAACAAATAAGCTTTTGAGCTATAAATATATTGTGACTCTTGTATATATTTTTGCATATTGGATACATAGAAAATGGGAGCAGGCATTGGGTAAAACATGTCATGGCAATGAATTCATTTATGTATTGGAATATACTCCATATATCATGCGTGAAGTGTATTGATTATTTTAATATAAAATATAAATGTAGCAAAGCAAGAGGTGCACGAGAAATGCTCAATTTTGGATATAAGAAACCCAAACGAACTGTGTCTCAAGGCTGACAACTGTTCATAAATTGTTTAAGTCAAACACGCAGCTAATAAATAGTGTACGATGAACGATAGGTAGAAGATAAATTAGGGTTATAGAGTATGAGAGCATCTTCAGAAACAAGGATTGAGGTATATCATTGTTAATAAGATATATGAAAAGGGAGATAAATAAAGCAAAATAAATAAAACAAAGGTGGGGATCTTGGAATCTTAATTAAATAAGCAGAGAAATTAAAGAATATTATTGTTTTTATTCACAGTCAGGCCTATTTCTGCTTAGATATTATATAGATATATATATATATATATATATTATAGATATTATATATATTATAAGCCTGAACCCATTGAAACTGGGAAATCAGGGTATGTTTTCTTAAACCCATCAGACTAATCTTTCATAAATGTAAACAAACCATTTTGTTGCTCTAGTTTAAAGCGAATTCTTTTACAGGGTATTAGTCATTCGTGTACCCTTGACTTTATAGTTTTGTTTTTGTTTTTCGTTTTTTTGCATTGTGTTTTGGTTGTGCAGTTTTGCTTTTATTTTTATTTTTTGACAGTGTCTGGTTTGCCGCTCGCGTTTAACTCGATTATTTGGCTGGCTTCTGTGGTTTTTGGGTATGTCTAATATTGCAGCGCGGCGGTTTCTCAATGCAAACGAGCTCGAGCATTTAAAGCCTTGCTAATGTAACACACGAACGGAACAAAAACAACTTGATAAGTGTGTTTTCGGCTGGCGCTGTAAACAGTGACTTGCAACAATATGTGAAACAGATGTACTAAACATATTTTCGTTCTTTGTGTGGATTATCGAGCGATTGCAATTGATAAATTATGCAGGCTTGCGCTGGGCTCGAGTGTGTCTCATTAGAAGTTTAGTTCTAGAGTTGAGCTTGGCTGAAGAGCGCTTGTGGACCATGAAGGAGTGACCCCCCACTCCCCTATTGTTGACTAAATAGTTAGTCATTATTTTCATCCATGGCCGCAATTTAGCAGGTGTTATCAAAACGAGGTAAAACCTAGCTTGGCCATATAAATCAATTCGCATGCAAATTAATTGCTTGTAGCCTTCGCACTGCAATTTGGCATGAGCTGCTTGGAGTGAAGTATAACATTTGATTCAAGCTGGGCAATTGCCTCGACATTGACGGCTGGACAGTGGGGCATTCTGCCCAGCACACGCACGCCCATTTCAACACAGAAAATCGGTCAAGTTCAGCCCCAAGATGGGCAATCAGCCCGATTCAAACACCGCACGGCGTCAGCCGTGCCAAGCGGCATCGTTTGAAACGGAAAGAGAAGCGTTGATAAATCTACATACGCGTCACGCTTCATTTGAATACGAGTTTGTTATTATTTTCGGAAATTGTTTGGATTGGAATGCCAAGACTGCAGTTTGACTCAGTTGTTTTGGTTTTTGGCCTGAGCTGAATCACATGTGGCTAGAAACTCGGCGAAACTACGCCCTCATTGCACAATCAGCGGCATCAGGTGTGTGGCCTGAAGCTCAGTCAGAGCATCGCGCAGCTTGGGCAATCGAGTGTCCAAGTGATTCATCAGTTCCGTGCCAATCAACTTATTGAGATGCGTCTGTAGCCGCATCAGCTCAGTTTCCCCTTTTTGTTGCGTCGCAGACTTTTGTTGTGTTCAATGACGAAGCACTTTAGCGACGCTTCTCTTTGTCGCTCTCTTTCACTCTACAGATGTGCGTCTCCCTCTCTCTGTCTGCTATGTTTTATGTAACCCACATTTTGGCAGTGTTATTTATTTATGCAACTTCTTAAGGGCTGGCTGCAGTTGATATTATCGTAATTGAAGCTGCCGCTGCCGCTGCCGCTGCCGCTGCCGCTGCCGCTGCGGTGGGTCCAAGTAACCCAAAATGCGCATACGCCACGTGTGACGGGCGTATTTCAAATGACTTTCAAATAGCAATTAGCATTTAGGTTTCTTCTTAATTAACACGACAAAACATAAGCAAAAAAAGACTCTTACAAATTGCATTGTCATATTGATGGATCTCAGTGAAACAAACGAAAAAAAAAAAATGATGCCGTCCTAAGTGACTAAGTGAGCAATTTGCAAAGTGAAAGGCGCGGCCGTAGCCACCTCTGCAGGCACATGGCAATCAACAGATGCGTCCTTCCTCTGGTCTTGTTTTTTGCCTCAATATGTGTAATACAAGCTGGCTGTAAGTGGAGCCATGCCATGATTGCTTCATTATTTGATTTCACTTGCAAATTCCTGTCAGCTTAACGCTCGGCGCGTTTTCTTGCAGGTGACCCAATCAAGACTTTCCGCCAAGCGCCTCACTTTGTACACAATTAACCATAAATTAAAGCATAATTATCGCATCTTCAGCAGCCGCACACATAACACATAATACTAATGTAGGCTTGAGCATGTGGGGTCTATTGTCTGCGTCTGACGGTGCTCCAGAGTTTACTGTATTAGTGGTGTCTCTCGTAGGCTGGCGGCTACTTTGGCTCGCTCACGCAATCCGTTCGCTCACGTAAGACCTTCAAAGGTCACGCACGCCGACTGCGATAGCGACTGCGACTGCGACTCCAACTGTGACTCCATCCACAGCGCGCATCGCCCATCTTCCTCCTTCCTCCATCTTCCACCTCCCATCTCCACTTCAAGCGGCCAGAGTCAATTTTGTTCACCCCGGGCTGCATCGCTTCTGGCCGTCTTTGTTACCATTTGTTATTGTCGCTTCGCCTTTTTATTGCCCTAACTTGAGAGCTAAGCCTCTTGCTCTCAGCATTTGTTGCCCATCAAAATATACATAGATAATCGCAGCTGCCTAGATCAATAAAAATAAAATATCTGATGACTTTTGATTTATTTTATGGCTATATTTATGCATTTACTACTAAGCTCGAAATCAGAGCATTTTCAATGGTTTTCATTGTGCTCGATACGAACTTGAAAATAAATCATGAATAATGCCTTTCAAGTTATCTGATCTATGGGAATTGAAAGTACTACTTCCTGCCCTTCTCAGGTTTATTGTAGCTTTTATATTTATTATTTTATATTGTTAATATTTGATAGATTTACCTGAATTTTTATTTTTATTTTTTATTTATTTTTTTTTTTTTAATATTTAACATAATATTTTAAATAATATTTGTTATATATTATGTTGTATTAATATTTTTTTTTTTAATCAATTAGAAATTTTTTCTTATTTTAAAATTAAACGGCAATTGAATTTGCTTAGATATTTATTAACTAAATATTTACATTAAAGATTTTCGGCTTATAGCAAGTGAAAGCGCATTAAAGCTTCGGCATGTCAAAATAAATATTCAGCTCTGTTTTGTTATTGTTTTTCTATCACACATAGGCCACACATGTACACACACACTCATACACATACACACACACACACACACTCAACAGCACACAAAACACATGCAACAAATAGCTCTCAAATTGCAATTTAATTCGACATTTTTGAAAGATCTTGAAGTGTGGCCGCAACATTGTCTGATGGGTGTTTTGTTTTGGGGCCCTATCACTCACTGTCAAGACCATCGTTCAATTAACATAATTAACTGACAAAACAAATTAGCATGTAGATTGGCAGCCAACACTTTACACAGTTGCTGTAGCAGCTATTGCTGCCCAGCGTCAGAGTATTTTTTCTGTTTTTTTTTTTTGGGCTGGTTTCTCCGTTTGACACTTGTCTATCTTAAGAGACCCCTCACTCTTAGATCCAATAGTCGAACTTGGTCTGACTCGGCAAGGTCGGCTTAGCAACATTATCTTCTACATAGATCATCAGCTCTCCGGGTCTTCCATCATGCCATGAAAATGATCGACAATTCATTTGGCTAAGCGTTTTATGGGATCTCTCGTGGGAAATTGTAATCGTATATGTTGACGAGGTCAAGCTCTAATGTTTTGCCTAGGCCTGAAAGGGAAAGGAATTCTCAAAGCTATGCTAAAATGATTCAAATCGTTTAATTCAATTGGAAGCTGTTTCCTTTTATATTCGTTTGTTTTAACACTTTAGTAGTTTTGAGCTTTTCGGTCTTTATATTATTTAAATGAACGACAACAGATCTGAACAATGCGCTCCGCTTGACAATGCGCAACAACAAATATTGAACATAAAAACTGGCCAACAATGAAAACTGAGAAGAAAAAAAACAAAACATATAAAAGATAAAATTTTGGAATTTTATATGAAAAGAGTCCGCCAAAAGGAAAACGAGTTGACAAATTTTGGCGCAAGGCTGCAAAAAACCGGTTTAAAAAGAAACGGTTCGAGCCTAAAACTTTTGTTTAACGCATTGAACCCGTTAAGCCAAAGTAGAAATTTAATAATCTTTGGCTTCGGCATTCACTGAAGTTGAAGCTTAATATAGACAACGATAAGCCAGTTATAGCTATCCATATGCATTTATTGCCTATTTATAAACACTTGAAACATTTGACCTGAAGATCTCTTCTGTTGACCATCTTCAGTCTGAACCCAACAGGAAATCGTTTTATAAGCTACAGCTTAGAGGTTAAGGCTTTATAGAGAGAAACACTTACCAAAGCAAAGTTTATTTATTTCTTTTTTTGGCTGAACTGAATGCTTGGGCACAGATAATTAAATGATGGGCCATAATTTATACAAGATATTTGCATTTAGCTCTGGGGCCGAGTGTTCATCAAATTGAATTAATGTCAAGAAACAACAGCAAAGCATTCCGCAAAGCAACAGCAATTAATATCAATGTTTGTTTGTTGTTGCTGTTGTTATTGCTTGTATCTGACTGTAGCCGACTAGCGACCGACTGCTGACCCACTTTCGCGTCGAGGTGCTAACTGGATGTGGCTGGCAGCTGTGCTGATCTTCTCCTGCCGGGGAAAAGTATAGAGAGCAGCGCCGTCGAAACGGAAAGTCACACCCAGCCACGCCCAAAATGGTCTGGCCCCCGACGCGTCGCGACGGTCAATGGCATATGCTAAGCGGCCGGCATTACCGCCGACTGCATATTTATGCCTCATTATTTGCTCAGACTCAATTTCAATTTCTATTTCTATTTGCTCGCCCTGTGACTCCAGCGACAACTCGTAAAGCTCGCAGTCCGAGACTCGAGACTCGCTCGAGATGATGTCGAGTGAAAGCGGCCTGCGACTAACTTATTATTGTTGTGTGTTTAGTTTAGTTGTTTTAGCTCTCGTTGTCTCTGTGCACAGTGCACCGGTCTATTTGCCGGCTATTGCTCTTCCTTTGCGCGCTGCACGAATCGGTTTTGCCGTTTTCTTCCATACCAATTGCAAATACCAATATTTATTTTGTTGGTCATGGCTAATTGTTCTGCCTGCCTTATGCTCACTTATACACTTATGTCTGGCTGTCAATTTCGCCCTGGGCCGCAGACTTCTTTAATGGCTCTATTAACAAATTTGTCTGCCCATTTGGGGCGGGTCATTAAAATTGCTGCTCGCCTCAGAGCGTGGCCCACGCGGCGAATGCCTAATGCAAATGGGTAAAAGTGCAATTAAGCTTGACAAAAGTCTAGTTAATGCCAAATTGGGCGAATCGGATGCAATGAAAGTTTTCTAAATGTGATTTCAAATATATTTATGTGCCCAAGCAAGAGTTTTAAAGGATTTGTTGGGTTTCCATGCAATGTTAATAAATGTTGAAATCTATGAGAGGCTTATATCTGATGTATATATTTATGTGTATATATATGTACTACTAATATATGCATATATATATTTATATACATATATGTACATACTTAACGATTATGCCTGCGGAGAGGTGTTTTGTAATTCCAGCTTAAGCTCGTGTTTCAAGAGTCTAAATGTCTGTTAATCTGTCAGAGGCTTGAAATTTATTATTAATACTTGCATGTACCCTTGTTTGATAGAGAGATATTTTGAATTTGTTCACTAGAGTCGTCGTATATCCGAAATTACCATATATTTTACATTTTTAAAGCCATTAACGAATCTTCAAATGTTATGATGTGATGATAGGTACAAAAATCTAAGACTATGACGAAAAAATATATATGTATATAATAAATAAATATTTTTTTATGTCTACATTTCACCAGGTAGAAATATAGTTAAAATATATCTATAAATCAGAGCAGTAAAAAGCCAATATTTCGCAACTGAGTTACTGTTGACGTCAGCTCTAGATTGCACAAGGAATTTAGATAAATTAGCACAATATATGTAAGTTTGTCAGATCTGTCGCCAGAGAGTTTAGACGACCATCAGGTTGACCCCAATTATGTATATCTTAATATCAAATGGGTCGCTTAAAAAACATGATCTGCATTTAACAAGTTAATATTATAATTTTTCAGAAGTATTAACGTAGACGTGAGAATATTTAATAACTATATCAAACTATCTATGTATAATGACGTCAAATGAATTCAACTTTTTAAGCACATTCCGATAGCTTAAACTTTTAGTTTCTGTACATTGAACTGAAAATATGTATATAATTGCTCGCCAGACTCCATGAACGTTTGTTATTCTAGCTCGAATGATATTATTTGAAGATGTTAATGTTGATTTCTCATGGCGAGTGCCCATTTGGTGGTTTATGAACCATTAATGGCACCAAGCTGCAGTCTCTAACCCCAAGTGAACCGCAGAAAGACGTTAATCTAAACGAAAAATTGGGCCTCGCCGATGCCAAAGTCCGTATTGTTATTAAAGCACGCTCCATTTTCCTTGAACTAAAGCTCGTCTGACTGTCTGACTGACCGACCGACCGACTGAATGAGTTTAGCTATTAACACAAGAGCAAAAGCCAATTAATTGGCCTGTGGCTGCATTAACTGAATGCCATGTGCTTGTATCGCGTATGTGATCGATGCTCGAGCAATTAGTTTGAGCTTCAGGTGCGCATATTAGATGTGGATGAAATTACTGTGTTCTAGTCTAGGTTAGTATACTCGGCGCTACCCAAGTTTGATCTATTCTATTATAGTCAACTCTGGTCTAGTTTACTCTATTTGACTCTATTCTATTCTACTCTTCTCTACTTTACTATATTCTATTTTATTCAACTCTACTCTGTTTAGTCTATTTTACTCTACTCTAACTCGACTCTACTCTACTCTGCTGTAGTTTACTTTACTCCACTCTTGTTTACTCTACTTTGCACTACTCTGCACAACTCTGCTCTACTCCGCACTACTCTACTCTGCACTACTCTACTCTGCATTACTCTACTCTGCACTACTCTACTCTACAGTACTCTACTCTGCACTACTCAGCACAACTCTGCACTACTATGCACAACTCTGCACTACTCTACTCTGCACTACTCTACTCTGCACTACTCTAGTCTGCACCACTCTACTCTACTCTACTCTACTCTGCACTACTCAGCACAATTGTGCACTACTCTACAATATCTGCACTACTCTGCACCGTTCTACTGTATAGAGTAGGGTAGACCTTACTCTACTTTTCTTTCTCTACTGTATTCTCTGTGCATGATGACATTTAGTAAGAACCCACTTAGAGGGCTTAGAGCATATACAGATTTCATGTCCCACTTGACAAGCTAACAATTTAATTTGAACTCCAGACGTTGCAATTTGACTCGTTATTGTTGTTTATGTAGATTAGCTAACATACAATACACACACACACATATACACATATGTAATCTTTTAAGTGCGTACTCAGAGCACATAAGTGTTTAAGCTTTGACTTCGTTTTATTTTTTCCCTTTTGTTTGCTATTTGCCATTTTGAGTTATTTTGAGAGTCTGTGCTCCATAAGGAAGTGGCTTACAAATATATCTTTCAAATTCTTCTGTCGAAATTGTGTTGGTCACGGCATCATTAGCCAAGCTCTGACCCATTGGCATCTGATCTTTATACCTTAAGCTCTCTTTAATGGCAAACAGAAAAAAATAAACACATTTTAAAGGTTTCCGCTTCAATGCGTACGAACGTTTAAGTGTTTAAAAGCCTTTGTTCAATTTCAATAAATTTTGATATACATGAGAGCAGCTGCTGTGGCTTTTTACCCTTTGATGGATGTGGAAACATCAATCAAAAATTTTAATTTGATGCGGGGCATCTTTTGAAAGACGTATCTACATTTATAAGCCTGTGCAAAAAACTATGCCACGGGCGGTCACGGCCTATGCCAAGATATTAATGGGATAGCCCAACCCAAAAATCAAAACCATTTTAAGGCAGGTCAGAAGCATGTTTCTCTACGTAACCGAATGTCTGAGACTAATGTGATATAATGGTGTTTCTTTGTACATATATACATATACATATATATTTATAGAAAATTAATTTCATTAGACTTATATTTCATATCCCATTCACATGCTAATCCCACGCTTTATATACTAACCGAATACCTTTTGTATCATATTGAAGAACTATCCTATTCTGTGTCTGCTTTTCTATTTACTTATAGGATTGGCTTGCGGGACGTGCGTTTTTATGTCCGATTTCGGTTTCACACTCGATTGTAACTTCAAAAAGTCTGGACTGTTTCGTGTACGAAACTTGGGTGGCGTCAAGGCGCATTTCGGTTTAGGTAAATCCACCTAAAAAAAAAAAAAATCAACTTTAAATATAGAGAGAGATCCCTAACCAACTTTTATCTATCTATTGGATTTTTTTGTTAATATAAATAATAAGCTGTATATATAATCAGTCCAGCTGTATATAGATAAACCTCAAGTGGAGCGAACAGAATTTATATTAACAAACAAATTTGCGGCATTTAAGTCATCAATGAATTAATGCCAATGCCAATGGCAATGCCAATGCCGAGTCGAGCTGCGCTTTAGAGTGTAGCAGCTGCGGTTCAATATCCGTAGCATTAGCATTGACCAGTTGAGCTGTTGATTGGACAACTCGCATACACCTTTTACCTGTACATACGAGACAATGCACACAATAGTTTCAGCTCTAAAGACAAAAGAGGAGCCAAACAAAGGCGATTAATTATCGACTTGTTCGGGCTCTGATTGATGAGGTGTCGCGACGGCTTGCTGTGGATCGAGTCTAGCCTAATCCGTCTTGTGCTTGCAGGTCTGAGCGTGGGCGACGAGCTGGGCTTCAAGGAGTCGCTGAGCAACGTGGAGAGCGATCGCCGGCGCGCCATTAGCTACAGGAATGGGGCGGCGCCAGAGCTGGTGGGCGTGCTGCCCTCGGCACGACAGCAGGAGGTGAGTGTGCTTAATCGGAGGCTAAGTGAGCTGCTAACTGTAATAAACCACCTCTGATGCAGGCCACTGCACCCAAGCAGCTCAATCTGGCGGACAAACGCATCAGTTCACGGTCCACAGCGCCCGGACCCTACAATCTGCAATTGCTGCAGCAGGCGGCGGTCAAGAATCAAGCGCAGCAGCAACTGCAGCAACTGCAACAACTGCAACTACAACAACAACAGCAGCAGCAACGGCAGCAGCAGCTCATGACAGAGGCGCGTCCGCTGCCCATGGGCGTGCCCGCCTTTCGGCCCATACCAACGAAGCCGGCGGGCAACGAGGCCATCGCCCAGCGTCGCATTGCCGTGGACTCGACGCAGCCGCGCGTCAGCGTCAACAACAAGCTGGTCAACAGCAATGCGAAGCCGGTAAGTGAAGCAGTCAGCTTTAGTTGTCGCTCGCTCGCTCACCTTAACCTTTGCCTCCCCCTTGCAGCACTCCAATCGCACATTCCATGCGGACAATGCCATGGTCGTGCAGCCGGTTGTCTCGCAGCCCGTGGCCGTGCCGGTCTTCCAGGCCATGCCCGAGTCCATTTCACGCATTGCCAATGCAGCCAAGTCAGAGCCGGCACGGCCGGAGCAGCGCAGCGGGCTGGTCAAGCATCCCAACTACTTGCAGTTCGAGGAGCCCAAGTTTGACCTGAAGGACGTCACCGTCGAGGAGCTGGCGGCGGCCGCCAATGTCACCGTGGACACCATCAAGCATGCCATCTATGTGCGCGAGCAGCAGCTCAAGGCGGAGCATCGTGCCATGCTGGCCGCCAAGCTGCGCGAGGAGTTCATTCGCACGTCCACAGTGAAGACAACGACGACGACGTCGACGACCACGGAGCGGCCCAGGCAACTGGCGGAGCACAAAGTGTCCAAGGTGGGTTTGAATGTGGGCTTCACTACGAGGCACTCTCTAATGACTCCCATTGGACAGGTCATGAATGCGCCCAAGGAGTACTACCCGGTGGGCTACGACAAGAACTTCGATGACAACTTCAAGTCGAAAGTGGATTTGCCGCCCACGAGCTTCTCCTGCGCCCGCCAAAAGCACTTTCCGGGCCTCTACGCGGACACGGATCTGGGCTGCATGGTAAGTGGCAGTTGATTCTAGCTGGAGCTCGCTTCATTTGCTACTCTTCCCGGCCAGGTCTTTCATGTGTGCGCTCTCACGGACGACGGCATGGTGCGCAAGTCCTTCCTGTGCCCGGAGAACACGCTCTTCGACCAGACCATACTCAAGTGCAATTGGTGGTTCTACGTGGACTGCAGCTCCAGCACCAGCGTCTACGACTCCAATATACCCATCTCGAAGAGCTACCAGCTGATGAAGTCCCTCACCTACTTCTCCAAGTACAACAGCCAGAAGACCGAGCAGACTGGCGACAAGGATGACAATGCTGTGGACATTGACACGTTGCGTGAGTCCATGGACAGCGTCTCTCGCCGCCTGGAGCAGGCGAAGAACGCCCAGACTCCGTTGGAGGAGGTGCAGCAGCCGGCGCAGCCCAAGGCCGAGCACGAGCACGTTGTGCCCGAGGGCGAGAGCCAACAGCAGTTGGCCGACTAGACCCAGCTAAGACCATAGTTAGTTGCTATCTGAGATCTAGGTTAAGTTCAAGTTCAAGATCGAGCGTCTCTGGTCGATTTGCCGTACATAGTCAATGTCTTGCGAAAGCCAACGGGGTTGTCTGTCGTCTCTGGCCAATCATTAATCACTCCTTCCTCTGGCAGCGCCCGGGCATAGGCGCGGTCCTAGCTGTAGTCTCTACCCTATATCGTTAAGTGGATCATATCTAGTTTAAACCTACGTAATCTAGTGCAAATTCTAAGTGTTTGTGTGACTTGTGCGGTTAGTTTTACCTTCTATATACATACGTTACTTATTTATTTATTATATTTTTCGACACAATAAAACTCAAACTTGCATCAAAGACCCTATGGTACTCTAAAGCTAAGCTTAACTTATGTTAAATAGTAAACTGGTAAAGAGAGGTTCCGGTACAGTTAAGATCAATAAAATTGTGTTGCATATGGCTTGCGTGTGTTTTATGTATGAGCGAAGAACTTTGAAGAGCGATTACAGACACAAATACATACATATGTGTTTATGGAAAGCTCTAGGCAAATGCTTTGACTGTTCATGGAAAGCTTAAAGTTCATTAAAATATTTCGAATATCATTCGAATAGCATAATTGAAAGTGCTATACAGTATAGTATAAACATATATGTATGTGATATATATATTGGTATATAGCCAATATAACTCATTCAGCTTTAGAATTTTAAAGTTACTTACCTCAGATACATAGGTGTCTCTTTACTTAGTTCAAGCTTATGAGCTTTTAGATCTATGTAAACTTTAAAGCTAATTAGTGTTAAAGCCAAATAGTAATATATTGAAAGCTTGAAGCTGTTAGGGTTTTATGAAATACGGCATTGAAGAAGAGCTTTAAAAGCAGCTGAAAGCTGTAAGTGAGATTAACTCAATTTCCGGCAATATATTCATAAGCATACTCATAAATATATTTACCTTACATCTAAAATAGATTAAAGAGATTTACACACACAAACTTTAAGATTAGCTCGAGCTTTGCCTAACTGAAATCATCTAAAAGCTCAAGTCACATATGATTTATCACGTATGTATGTATGTATTTATTTATGTATGTATATACACATGTTCTATTTGCTAAATGAATATCAACAAGCAATACTCTAGCCATATTCAATATTTCCCCAAAAATGCTATAATTCCTACCCCAAAAATACCGCTACATCAGCTCGTACATTCGTGAGTCCCCACTCAGGGCTCAACTCCATAAAATAAGTCTTCATGACATAACCTAGAAAAAGTGTTCGCCACGTTTATTAAGTAACTCTTCAGACTCCGCACAGAGACAATAAATACATATTTAAGTGCAACTTAAGCTAAGTGGAAAACAACCGTTAGGCGGTCTGGTGGGGGCGTGTCCTATGACCGCTCGAGCTGGCCGACTGCTCCGCATTGCGATCGCTTTTGTCATGCAGATGAACCGCTTCGCTGAGCTCGACATTAGCGTGCAGTGCCGCATCGTTGGCATTGAGCTGCGCCTCCTGGGCGGAGAGGGTCGCCTTCTCGGCCGCCTCGCGTGTCTCCTCGTAGTCCAAGCGCGCTGCATAGGCCTGCGACTCGGTCTGCTCCAGTTTGCCCTTGGCCTGGGCCACCATGTCGATCTGCGAGGACAGCTCGGCAGCTGCCTCAGCGGCGGCCTTCTGCGCCAGTTCCGAGGCGGCCTGGGCATTGTTGAGAGCTGCGGTCAGGACGCTCACATGGTTGATGGCCTGCTGGGCGGCATACTGGGCCGCCTTGGCGGAGCGCTTGGCCTGCTGCAGCTGCGTCAACTCTCTCTCCACAGACTTGTGCGCCTCGACGCTCTGCTCCTCCAGGCGATGCAGCAGCACCTCCTTGCCCTTGAGCACGGCCACAGCGGTGCCCGCTGCCTGAGCAGCGGCCTGGGCCAATGTGCTCTTGGCCACATACGAGGCCTGTTTGCCGGCCGCATTCTGGCTGGCCACGGCCGAGATGGCCTGATCCGCCGAGCCCTTGGCGATGCTGCGCAGTCCATTGTCCACCAGATAGCCACCACTGCTGCCGGCATGACTGCTGCTATGGCTGCTGTGGCTGCTGAGCGACGCATAGTCGGAGCTCTCGTAGTGCGGACTCTCGTACTGCTGATGTGTCGGCGCCGCAAACTCATCGTGGTTGATGGTCTCGAAGCTGTACGGCGGCAGCTCGTGCTCCACGGTCACAGTGTGCGCGGATGCCGAGCTCTTCTGCGGCGCCGGCGGCGGTGGCGGCGGCACATTCAGATGGTAATGAGCATCCTTGCGCTTCACCTTGCGTCCAAATGCTGGCACCTCACCTGATCAGCCGGAAGCAGAGTTAAGCAGCTGCACTCGAAGAAAGTGTATGGGCGCAACTTACCGAACAGCAGCAGCAGCAACAATAAATGCAGCATCAGTGACATCTTTTGGTGGGCTCTCAGTTTATGCAACGTGTTTCAGCTGTGAATATATATGTATATGTATGTATGTATGAAAGAAAAGTCTTTACATAAGTGCATGGCAGACAGGAAGCTGTGGGTGCTGCAGGTGGGCGCTCATTCCTGCTGCTCATTGTGGCTGAGGACAAAGAGTGTCTGGCCAGAGATGGCCTCAAGGTGAGTCTCAAACATTTCCTAACCACTGCAACCGGTTCAGCAAACGGTAAACTGCGAATTTATTGGCGGTCTTAGCCTTTGCAAAAACGAATGTCAGTTAGTGAAGATAAGCCTTTGATTTAAACACAATAACCCAACGTTGCGAAGTCGCTGCGAGTTCAGTCACGAGCAAAATAAGAGTTTCGTAACGCCTTTTACTGAGCCTTGAAATCAAAATTTACATCTTGCGAATTGATTTTGCGGATGTGAGTTGGGCTAGGTAAAGTGTTTATCATGGGTATTATTATTGGCTACTTTAATTACTATTGTTAGCAATATTTGCACTATCTATATCAGCCGGCAGTAAAAACACTATATCCGATAGCTTGGGCAGTTTCGGCTCGTAACATCTCTGATCTGTTGAGGTACGGCCTTAAATGGAAGTTTGGAACTTAAATGAAGAATGTTTTGCTAGCTGACATAAACTAATTCGTAGAATCCATAAATTTGACAGAGAGATGGGAACGTTCTTAATACAATAATGATCACAACTATAAAAATCGACCACTATTACTATTGAACTAATGATAAGCAAAACTATTAAAGCTTTACAATGATATATAATGGTATATAATGATATATTGAGCTCACCTGAAGTCAAACCATTCGGTTATTTAAAACTAATTCCAAAAATTATATTATCTTAATAGATCGCTAATAAAAGACAAGTTGAATAAAAAAGTAAGAGAAATACTATAGTAAAACTAACCACAATTACTCTAGATTAGCAATGTCTGTCCAGCAGATCTATCAGCAGACTATATCTGAATTTAGGTATATATACCTGCAGCTAATACAAAACTTCTAGCATATAAGGTTTAATGACATTAGATTTGAGTCGATTGCTCTACACATAATATAGGCATAGACTTTCAGAGAAATACAATTAAAAAACTTTCGGTTCGGGTTCCTAGATAGAAATTGTTTAAAAACTGTTGAAGTTTTTGGTTACGGAAGAACAAAAATGATCTGCTTTAGTTCTTATGAAACAGAAACAGATAAGCCTAAAAGTCAAATTTGTAGAGCATCAGACTCATACATAGTTTTAAATGAAAGAACAGCACTTCAGTTTGATCGGAAATATACACACTTAATAGAGTCAACCTTGCCTTCCTCTGCCTGCATATAAAATTTCACATCAAATCTTAAATTCTCATTGTCAAGGATCAAGCTATGGCCTTAATACTGCCTACGATATTCTCTGCAAGAGGTGAACTAATAGCTAACTGTTGCCAGAGAATGATCTGGAAGCCAACTCCACCTGAGCTTTGCCATTTATGCAATCAGAGAAATTGTAGAATGCCATCTTGGCTAATAAAGTGTGTCAGTCAGCTCTGGCAGCGATTGGGAGAGCAGAACCAGTTTACTTTTAAGGCGAGCACCACCTCAACCACCTTGCAGCACACACACTCTTACACACCACTCACACACACTCTCAGATAACTGGACGGTGGCAAGATTTGAAAACACAGTAATCACTCAAGTTGACAGTTAGCCACAATCTGCAGTGGCTCGTTGCCCTGCTGCTGGCACTTACACGACGGCGGCTAGGTGCGCGTTAGCCGAGGAGGACGTCCTGCGTGGTGGACAGGCGAAACGTATCTAATGCGCGGTCAGCGATTGAAGGCCAGCAGTTGTTGTCGCTGCGAGTCGAATAAGGCGGGCTCGGTGGAAAGCGCTTTTACTTTCGTGTGGCATGCAACGGAAATGCTTGTAAATCCGGTAAGCAAACGTTGTCAATTGGCAGCGAGCGCCTGGATGCGGCTGGCATTTATAAGCCAAGTGGTGCGCCGAATCGGCTGGGGGAATTGGGCGCGTCCCCGCCAGCACCGCGGCGACCCGCCCGAGTCGTGCACAATGAAAGTGCAAACCCGTTGAACGTTTACTTTATGAGTTTGCAATGTAACGCAAATTGCTCCGCTTTGTAAGTGAACAACAACAACAACTACTACAGTAGCAACAACTGCAACTGCAGCTGCAACAATAACAACATGGCCGGGTCATTGCTTTCTTGCTGGACCATTGGGTAATTTTGAAGCCGCTTGCGTGATGATGCCAGCGCATTCCTTAATTGCTTTGCGACGTTTTAAACACCAGCCCCAAACTCCACATTAAATATGACAATTGCCAGCTATTACCCCACAGACGAGGAAACGGCCCGAGCTCCCAGCTTTAGCATATCAGCATATTCATATGCATGTATATATTACCTTTTTTTATTATTTCAATGCCAGACAAAAAATGATTTACGTAAACAAAGAAATTAGAGAGCAGCTTGGATGATAAACAGCAATGGCATAAATAAATAAATTCCGAGGCAGATAGAGATGGAGATATTAGAGTGAAATGCAATGCAGGCAAGTAAAATAGAGCTGGAGTTTGAACATAAATAAAGCGTATTAGATGAATCACAAATTGAGTTATACACTATAGCACTTTATGGTATGAATATAATGCATAATCATTTTTAACTATTATTAAAATTCAAACAGAACCATAATTATCATTAGACATCCAGTAATATTTAAATAATAAATAAAAATATTACTTTAACTAAAATTTTTACAATTATTCCACTACTGATTTTTTTAAATTTTAGTTAAAGTAAAATTTTTGTTATTATTATATTGTTTATTAATTTTTTAGTATTCTGTGAATCACAATTGTCAATATAAGTACATATATTTTAATTCAAATTAGTGCAAAAATAAATTGCTGTGAACATAAATACTTGTAGCGAAGCTCCCCTGCCGTTGTTTGATTGTTTTTTTTTTTTTTTTTTTTTTTTTTTTAAAAAAAAAAAATGACAAAACACAAATCTTTATAATGATGCATTGATGAATCAATTTTAATCAAAAAATTATTTCCAGAACTTCTTCATGGACATATTGCGGTCAGAGTCCTTTTGCATCACCTTGGAGACGGCCATCTCGAAGTCCTCCTGGGTGACGTGGACGCGGCGCTCGCGCAGCGCATACATGCCCGCCTCGGTGCAGACGCCCTTGACCTCAGCGCCGGATGCACCGGGCATCAGTTCGGCAATCTTGCGCAGATTGATGCCGCGTGTCAGATTCATTTTGCGTGAGTGTATGTGTAGGATGTCGACGCGTGCCTCCTCGCTGGGTGGCGGAAACTCAATTTTACGATCGATGCGACCGGGGCGCAGCAAAGCCTGGTCGAGCACATCGATGCGATTGGTGGCCATGATCACCTTGATGTTCTTGGATGCCTCGAAGCCGTCCAGCTGGTTGAGCAGCTCCAGCATGGTGCGCTGCACCTCCGAGTCGGCGCCTCTGCCCGACTCCAGACGCGCCGAGCCAATCGAGTCGATCTCGTCCATGAATATGATTGATGGCGCATGCTCGCGAGCCATGACAAACAGCTCGCGCACCATGCGTGAGCCCTCGCCAATGTACTTCTGCACCAGCTCCGATCCGGAGACGCGTATGAATGTGCACTCCGTGTGATGGGCGACAGCGCGAGCCAGCAAGGTTTTGCCAGTGCCAGGCGGTCCATAGAGCAGGACACCCTTGGGCTGGGCAATGCCCAGGGCATCGAACAGCTCGGGATGCTTGATGGGCAGCTCGATGACCTCCTTAATCTCGGTGATTTGCTTGGAGAGGCCACCCACCATCTCGTAAGTGGAGTCCGGCACCTTTTCGACCAGCATCAGCGAGACGAGTGGATCCACCTTGCTCGGTAAAATCTTGTGGAGAGTGTAGCTATCATGTCGTAGTGCCACACGGCTATTGGTAGTCACATCATTGATGTCGATATTCTTCTCCACATCGACTACGTATTTGCCATCGTGATGCACCTTGACCAAGACCTTCTTCTTGTCTATGGGCTTGACCACTTCGCCCACATAGCTACCTTGCTCCTGCAACAGCTGCAGCTCCTCGCGCAGCATACGCACTGCAGCAGCAGACGAATTTTCAGGAAATGGACTTTTTGTTTTATTTTTTTTTTTTATATTATTGCTTACCTTTCGAGTTGAGCTCATTGCGCTGAGCCTCCAGGCGCAGCAGATTGCGCTGCTTCTCCGAAACAATGAACTGCAACTCGGCAATTTTCTGCTCAAAGAACGAGCTGAGGCCGGTGCCCTGTTTGTCGTTGGGATCCTTAGGCCCTTCGAATCCACCCATTTTGAACTGACTGGTAATATACTTATTAACTCGTATTAACAATATATTTTGTTGCCTCTCTCTGATGTACTCACCGTAGCGACTGAGATGAAAAGGAATTTATTTGTTTTAATTTTTTTCAAATAAAATAATCTGTAGACGAGCCGACTTTTGTCACTTTCTAGACTTAAAAATTTTTTGTTCATGAGATGGCAGTTTTGAATTACAGTGCTGTAAAACGTGTGCACTGAGTGATTCCTTTGGTGACCAAATATGTGCTAAATATGGCTACATTTGAGCAAGGTATTTTACATGTATAGAAAATACCAAAAGTAAGGTAATTTTTTTAGAAGGTGGTATTTTTTAGTGCCTTCGCTTGATTGCGAATATGTATGTGAAGTGAAGTATGAAATTCATATGAATTTTGCTTGCACTGAACCGAGTAAGCTGCATACTTGGCTCAGCTGGCGATTTATGCAGCTGCCCCAAAGTATGCTGTAGTTATTTTTGCCAAAGCAGCCTGAATGTGCAATTACAAAGGGCCGTTACAGTTCAGATTGATATTTGATTGAGCTATTGACAAGCAAGCAGTAGTCGCTGGCAACGACTTAATTGATTCAGAAATATTTAGCATTAGCATGTTTTAATTAGACACGTGCGCATGCTCGACTGGTTCTAGACTTGTCTTAACTTTAATGATGCAACAGTTGGAAAATATTTCAAAATTTGTCTAATTGCTTTCACGTATATAAATGTGGGTATGTTTATATAATGTATATGTATATGTACGTGTGTTTTGGCTGATTGTAAATACTACAGTGCCTTTTTTTTTTGCGAATCACCCATAAATTTTCAGTTCAGTGAATCTATGGGAAATCACGTCGCGTCAATTATTATTGGGAAAGTCTTAAATCTGTGCATATTCTTGATTAGATATTAGAGTTTCTGTTTAAATGCGGCAACAGCAACAGAAAATATTAAACTGAGCGCAGTATTTTTTTTATAGACTGTTCATTTAAGTACTAGTCAGCAGTAAATGCTTTTTATTTATGTATATATATTTATGATAGTTGTATATATTTATAATACTATGCGTAGCAATCTGATAGACAACAATGAGGTGCAAAAATATTTTGTTCGGCATTTTGCCAAATATGAAATCAATTCATTCACCAGCGAATAAATAATGGAAGATTGCTTCAACTTAAATGCTAATTAAATTTACGGAAAATAATATTTGACTATTTGGTTGGACTGTTTTTTGTTGTAGTAGTTGCTGTCGTTGTCGTTGTTGTTGTCGTTGTTGTTGTTGTTGGTGGTAATGATCGTTGGTAACGTTGCGTGGGTTTCTTTCGATCTTTTCATTTTAGTTTGAATGCTTGACTTGTTGTTTTTTTTGAATGAAACTAGTCGCTGGCCTCGCCAAAGCATTCAAATTGATCTAGCTGAGTTTTGAGCAAGTGTGTATGCATGTGTGTGCGTGTGTGTGTGTGTTGAAATAAATAAAAGAGACTTAAATTAATCTATCATTAAACGAGGTTAGGTCGTCTTGTCACCCAGCTTAGCATGCAGCTGGCTAATGTCGTATATAGCCACCAGATCTTTGTTGAGGCCCTCGAATACCTGGGCCACACGCGGCTGCAGATTGTAAAAGAACAGCGGCTGCTGTCGCTGTGCGAAATCCATGACCATCGTCGATATCACCTTCGCAGCCGTGAAGTCCGCTCCATAAATGTGCGTGCAGTCGATGACGACCGGCAGCGTCGACTTGACGCCCTGCTTATTGATCACCTTGCGCACAAACTCCATCGAGGGGAAGATGAGGCAGCGATCCGGCGTCAGCATCAAATAACGCTGACCATTCGGCGACTGCAGATGACAGAGAGAGAGAGAGAGAGAGAGAGAGAGAGAGAGAGAGAGAGAGAGAGAGAGAGACAGAGAGAGAGAGAGAGAGAGAGAGAGAGAGAGAGAGAGAGAGAGAGAGAGCGTTATTTACAGCTGAGCAGGAGCAAGAGCAGGAGCAGGAGTAGGGCTACTTACGCTGAGTGTTTCGATGCGCAGCTTCGGTCGTGCCGCCTGGTATAGAATGAAGATCACATTGATGCCAATGCCCACCAGAATGCCCAGCTGCAGCGGCATGACCAGGCAGGCAAAGAATGCGCCCAGGCCGGGTATCAAATCCGTCTCTGTGAAGAAGAAGAGAAAAGTCAATCAGACAATCTGCCTCCCACTCTCTCTCTTTCTCTTTCTCTTTCTCTTTCTACTCACTCTTGCTGTGCCACATGGGCTTGATGACGCGATACTGGACCATGAAGAGCACCGCGGCAATGATGATGGCCGCGAGGGCCGCCTTGGGTATATAGTAGAAGCAGGGCGTGAGGTAGAGCAGCGCAATGATGACGATGACACTCGTATACAGATTGGATAGCTGGGTGCGCACTCCACTCGCATTCAGGATGGCGCCGCGTGCCACGCCTCCATTGCTGCGCAGGCCCTGCACGAAGGAGTTGGCCACGTTGCAAATGCCGGAGGCAATCAGCTCTTGGGTAGCATCCGTTGGCTTGCCATCGGCTGTGAATGGAAATTTACAGTTAATCAATATGAATATTATGATCATTATTATTGTTATATAACTAGTAAGCCGTTTCGGCTTTTATCAGGCCATCAAGTGTGAAGTGAAATCCCGTTGACTTACCAAAGGCCTGCACCACGGCCATTGTTTCCAGCAGGGCAATCATGGGCACCACGATGAGGCCGGAGCCCAGTATGCCGACCATATCCCAGAAGGTTTGCGCCTCCTGCAGCACCTCACCCGTCGTCTCGTTGACCACCGCGTCCATGTGGAAGGGCGGCGACTGGAAGTGGGGCAATCCCTTGGGCACAAAGCCAACGGTGCGCACCAGCTGCTCGTTGCCGCTGATGGACAGCCAGTAGCCCAGCGCGGCGGTGGCACAGACCAGCAGCGCGTTGCGCGCCGTGCCCACCGTCCAGAAGATGCCCGTGAGCAGCTGCTGGCAGGTGGACTTGCCCTGCTTGGGTCCCACGCTGCAGCTGGCCAGGGCGCGCAGGCTGAGCAGGACAACGATGCAGGTGATGCCCAGTCCGAAGTCCGGCCAGCTGATGTTCTGTATGTCGTTGATGATGCTGATCCACACCTGGAGGAAGGTGTTGCCGCTGGTGCGTATGCCCAGCAGGTCCTTCATCTGCGAGCTGAAGATGATCAGCGAGACGGCGCTGGTGAATCCCGCGCCCACCGGCCCCGACACAAAGTCAATGAGGAAGCCCAGCCGGAAGATGCCCATCAGTATCTCGATGAGGCCGGTGAGGAAGGTCAGCAGCGTGGCCATCTGCCAGCTGCCGCCGGCTATTTGGAACGAGAGCAGCGCCGAAATGGCCGTCGGCCCGATGGGCACATCCTTGCTGGAGCCGATGAAGATGTAAATGAAGCAGCCCAGAAAGCACGCGTACAGTCCATACTGCAGATCGAGCCCGGCTATGCCGGCGTAGGCCAGAGCCTGCGGTATCACAGTCAGGGCCACCGAGATGCCGGCCACAATGTCGCCGAAGATGTAGTCCTTTTTGTACTGCGGCAGCCAGACGAGTATGGGGAAGCGTTTCTCCAGCGTCTTGCGGCGGAAGATGTTCGCCCAGGTGCTGCGGCAGCAGTCCTTCCAGCCGGACATCGCCGGCTCCTCCTCCTGCTGGACGATGCAGTCGCGCGATGTGTGGTACAGCGTATTCGTGGGTATGTCCACCGACACATCAGCGCCGTTAAAGGCGCTGTTCACATGGCCCGTATCTTTGGCAGTCATCTCAAATGGCGTTCACACTCACACACACACACACAGACAGACACAGACAGCTCTATATGTGGTACTCTGCACTTATGTGACGCTGAAAGCTCACGTCTTTTGGTATTTAGTTGTTGCGCTTTTTGTTTCTCTTCAATTGCCGTTGGCTTCATCTACGGCTTCATCTCACTGTCACAGTCGCGAATCACAATCACAATCACAATCACAGTAGCAGTCGCAGTCGCAGTCTCTTCACTTTACTCAATTTCAGCGCATACCGCGGCGTCACAACAAAACTATATCCAAAAGCCAAATCCAAACTATTCGCGACCGCGTCGAATGCGGGAATGAAATGAATTCGAGATCGAGGCAGAAGCAGAGGTAAAAACAGCAGCAGCAGCAGTAGCAGAGGCAGCAGCAGCAGCAGAAGCAGCGCTCAACTGTAGCCGAATGGCTGGGAACTGATTATAAATAGGTGCGCGTCGCGAATGGCAATCCGCTCGTGTCACCCGGCAAACGCCGCCCAACAGCAGCAGCAGCAGCAGCGGCGGCAGAGGCAGCCCCCGATGTTCGAGACTCAGCGCCGGCTTTCGTTAGAGCAACACGAAAATATAAATAAAAACAAAACCGGCTTGCGTCTGTGAGCTCTGGGTATCTCGAGTATCGTGTAACACATCTAGTCAAACCAAAAGAAATGTTAATTGTGCAGCCTCTTCTTGGCCTTAGCAATCGCATGGGGTTCCCAATAGCAGCAGCAGCAGCAGCAGCGACAGCAGTAGCGACAGCAGCAGCAGGTTAGCTTCTACTGCTTGCACTTTTAGGGAAATTCAGGCTTTTCAAGTTTCTTATTTGCACGTGCTAAAAGCAATTACAGCAACAACAACAAGCATAAAAACCACAATGCAAATCTTATTGAATATATTTTATTCCGCTCACATTGAAAGCGAATTTCACACCAGTCACATGACTCGACCGTGGACTGCGCTCAATTCCCCACATAATTAAAGAAATTAAATGAAATGAAATGAAATGAAGTAAACTAATAATAATCAGCTTTCATATTGGACTCTTAACATTCCTTAAATGTTTATCAATGCAATTCCCTTGGCATTTTCGCCTAGAATCAGAGTTGATTTCTCGAATTGCCATAGCCTGAGCAATTCGAGCCATAAGCTCAAAAGATTCCACTAAGTAAATAAACGAAATTATTTATGCGACATGGGAATATTTGTATTGAAATTTAATTTGCAGAGCAAACAAAACTGAACCCATTTCGCATATATGGGCAGCCATAAAGGGTTTGCAGTTAAATTCCATTCCGTTGGGAGTTTGCATTCTCAGACCAATTCAAATACCACTTGAGACCTTTTACAGCACTGGAAAGGTGCGACTATCGCAGGGGGAAATTAATCAGCAGCAAAGGCGGCCACGACGTTATAAAAAAATAATAATAAAACAATAAAATCATAAAAAAAAAACAATGCAATCGTAAATAAATCAGCTTTGAAGTGCGTGCACAATAAATCAGTTATGAATATGGGCTTAGATAAAGGCAATTTGAGTTTAGAAAAACTAATCAGAATTCACTTAATATACATACATACATTTACATACACATACATACATATAAATATCTAACCCCGTCTATCAGCAGCGCCAGGAAGTGAATTTAATTTAGTTTTCATATTTGAATAATCAGCTAGTTAAATTAATTTTTACTTGCTCCGAATGTTGATGTTTTCGGAGCGTTAACTTGAGTCTTCCGTATCGTCACTGAATTTGGTAGATTCCATTCGAATGTCAAGATCTATCAGTTTGCAGAATTCAAGAGTTGTGCTTATATAGAAACTGGAATGCGGGGGTTTCTCCATGGGGTTTTTTGTTTTGCTCAATGCTAGACTACATTACTTATGCAGTTCTTGGATTGCGTGAGCTGTGCATAGAACCGATCAGCGGAAAATGTTGGCAAGAATTTTTCTACGAACTCTGACTTTATTATAATAATATAAAAATGGAAAAGTACGCGAAATTGTAACCTACAATTACTTAAAATTAATAGCCCCGAGCAGGCAATCAATCATTTGTACATCGAAATAAATAAATAAAACACGCAGAGACACAGACACAGACACCCACACTCACACATACACACACACTCGAAAGCCAAAGAGAAGCTTTACAAAAACACGTGTTGAGCGCCTGATAAAAGATTTGTGCTCCGGCAAGAGATGAGAAATCTTTCCACACGAATGACAGACACAAAACAAACGCGTATATAAACAAATACCAAAACATTGCCGATTATATCATGGCGAATATAAAATACGCTTTTCTCTCATAATCGAGCCATATCAGGAAATTTGCAAAGTTATGGCTCAAATTTCGATACATTATGGAAATGAATCAATGCAAAAAACGTCGCCAATACAAATAATTAATAAATCGAGTGCCTAAGGTCGGAAGTGACCGACTGCTAGTTACCCTGTACCCAGGGACAAAACTCGAACTTCCGCTCACAAGACAGCTAGAGATTCGCATATCTGAATGCTGTGAGAAACATCTAGAGATATTTGAGTATTATATGCTATGCTTATATATAAGCAGAGTTAAGACTATAGAAACAGCATATATGAGCTGAAGTACTGCTATCCCCTTGGAGGCATTAGGAGATATCTCCTGCTTCTACAATCTCTACTCTCCTCTTTAAACACCCTAGCCTTCTAGGCACCTGCAACCTCTCCAGCGTATGCAAAGGGAAATCTCTTTAGAACAAGCTAAACAGGTAGCGCTGTCTAATGCACAAATATTTGATTTGATAGGAAACCAGTTGAGATTTGTGTATGTCAATCAAAACGGATGCAAAGCAAGAAAGAAAAAAAAAAACAAGTTATATAACAAACAATTTAGGCAGATTGAGTGATGCGAATCATTGTTAACTGCTTCTCAAGTTATTAACCCTTATAATGGCATTGCTGAAATACTTTTCGAATACTTTCAGTTCGATCGCACAGCTTGATGAATGTACGCACATGAATATGCAACGTACGGATCTCTAGAAAGGTGTGTGTGTTTTTTTTTATTAACCTTACGAGTACTTCCAATCACAACCGCATAGAGTCAATTGTTAGCTCTCTATACACTATCGGAGGGCATCATGCTGTTTTTTTGCCCACTGAGAATCACTTTGAGAATCATGAGAGCGCATTCAATGAAAGCTTACGCAGTAGAAGTCGCAGAATCAGTTTGATCAGAGACTATATCATTAATCTGTTCTTGGAAAACTCGAGTTTATGGATATGAAACTCGTTTGTGTGAAACAAATAAGTTATTTATAAACAAAATATTAACAATATACATGTTCTCTGTTATATATATGTATAAGTAATACAAGTAGTGAGTGAATCGCTCGATAAATAAGTGTGGAATCCCCTGCATGCTTCTTAATGATCATTGAAAATGGGAAGTGTCTAGATTGTAATATATTTTACCAATATTATAATCTACTCACTTCCCAGTAGCTGGATGGACTGGAAAAGTTCCTCAGATATATACACACATGTATTGGTATATTACTGTCCATCTATCTGGTCCATCATACTTGAATATCATATAAGAGACTGAGATCTAATGCCAGCTCCTGCTATAGCACTGCATTTTATTGACAACTTTCGCTTTTCCATTAAATATATATGTAAGACTCGAGTTATTTAAGTTCGCTTTACGCCCTACAGTTATTGCATTTGATATACAGAAATATTTTTGGAATACAGAGATGAGAATCGTTCCGCAAACCGGATGAGCTCCGTGCTTGTCACGTCACAGCAATCAGGATATCTGCCCAAGTACTTGTCTTTATTCTCTGACTCACTTAAGTTAATCTCGAGCATAAGAGTATTTAAGCAGCGTCTGTTTATTTCTGTATTTACTTCTTACGTATGCGCGACTTTCATGCGGTCAAATGGCGTTGCTCATACGCCACGTTGTGCGCGGGGCATATAATTGAGAGAGTGGCACAAATTATAGATATAGATGTGCATACATATATATATTGAATAACAATTAAATGTGAGTACTTAACTGTATTCGAATTACACATTTAATTACAGCTGGCGTGCAGCTAATTGCATTTCTCATGCTTAACAGCAGGCGAAAATTGAATATAGTTAAGCGCGATTCACACCATCATTAGCGGACTCTTCCTAGGGGAACGAGCGAGTCGAAGGAGATCAGAAATCAGGGCTCTGCTATATATAATAACAGATCTCTATTGACACACAGAGCCCAGCCTCAGGCCAGATTGATAAGGGGCTAGACACTTTGTATGCACTGCAGCTGCATGCATTCACGTATTATTTATAACGTGCACGTAATGCCGGGCAAAAGTAACTGTAACTTCGGCAAACAGTCGAACAGGCAAACAATTGTGCCAACAGCCGTCAGCTGATCAACGCCAACGATGAGCATGATGAGCAACGTTCAGTTGGCGCGGCGAGACAAATACAACTGTTAATTTCGCTGGCGATTAATTGCACACTATCGCCATGCAAATAAGTGACAATAACTATCACAATGGCATCAACTAGGCCTACGGATCACAGATTACGCAATACAGGCAGCAGCAGCAGCAGCCGAAGCAGCAGCAGCAGCCAGTCGCTCGTGCGCAGTGGAATGCATTGAGGCATGTAAATTAGTTGTCGCGAGGCTTCACGTGACTCACTGGATCTCTATATAGCCATATCGGATTTATACAATTTAACACAGATTAAATACATTCGATGGCCGCCAGTTATGCAATGCATGCATGCGATGCCATTCGGCATTTTAGAGTAACTCCAGTTTACACGCTCCACACTGCACACTTCACACTCCACACTCCACACTCCACCATGCAGTGACACCTCTTACATTATTTAAGGCCTGAAATGCATGTCAGGGTCTACGGCTTGACCAAGTTCAATGCCAGCGAAATAACTGAATTTGATATATTAGCCAAAGTCGAGCTCCGTCGAATGCTTTGAATGCTGTTCCGGTTGCGCTTGTCTAACACTTGACTAAAACATATTTTATTTTTAGTTATCGTTCGAATATATTTTTCCACAAATTCAAATGAGCTGCTCAAGCAAAGCAACAACTAGACAGAATGCTAACTGTTGTTTACGATTCTCTCTGCTTGTTCATGGCTTTAAATCAACTACATTTTATTCAATATTTTACGATTCAATAATTTCATTTCATTTTATATAAATAATTGCATATTGTAGCAAAACTTGACTCAAATTTGTGGAAGGTGCAATATGAACTTCTCTTATTTGACAAACCCATCAAGAGTGAAGCAGTGAGCCTATAAAGCATTATTATATAACGTAAATATATATTCAAAATATAATATATGATATAGCTCCACATCATCAGCTCTTAAAAAAATAAATATTTTTATTTAAAATTTTTATTTACAATTTTTTATCTCTATTTTCTTGAGCTCTTGAAATATTTAATGAAATTTTTATTTTGTATTAGATCTCTGGAATAAATCAACAGCAAGTTTTTTCTCAATTATTTGTTGTATTTTATCTAGAGGAAAACAATATATATATGAATATGGTTTTTTTTCCTTTGCTACTCCCTCTAAAAAAGTTTAAAAGTTTTACTTAAATATTGTCGAAGCAATTATATATTTTGAATAACAATTGTAAACTTGTATATATAGGCGTATATATATTATAGCAAGCATCGTAATTCCAGGTTTGTAGAGGCGAAGCAAATACTTTATCTGAATGGAAGCTACTATATATATATTTAAATAGCCTATACCTCTAAATTTACATATATCTTATCAAAAGATATGCGAAACGAAGAGAAACAAACAGACAACTAGACAGACGTCAGTCCTATCCACATTCCAATATAGACTCATTTAGCTTCATGAACGAGTTTGGCTGAACCACTGTGCATAAACTGGATATCCGCATACAAACAAAGCTACATACATACATACATATATTAGCCATGGTGTATGTGTTGTAGCTGCGACTCATTGATAAATGAGTGCAGCATTTGCCAATTAGATGATTTCCTTAACAAGTTTGCGACAAATTAAGATTTGGGTTCGTTGAACCGATGCGAATTCTGTGCCTCAGCCTCAGAGCAGCTGTTGCCTCTGAGCAACACTGAATGCCCCTAGGTGCATTTGGTTGAATCGAATGTAAACCCCATTTCGCAGCAACCATAAAAAAGTAAACTGGGCACGATAAACAAACAAACAAACGAAATATCAATAACAACACCTAAAAAGGAAATCGTAATGGTGCCTAAACGAGAAATGTTTTGTTTGTGATTGCGAATTGTTAAACATAATTTGCTGATGATATTAAATGTGAAAAAGCAATCAAATAAAAGCCACAGCGCCGCAAGGGCAGTAATTTGTGTTTATTTTTGGTGAAATTAGCCAGTTAGTTCGATTGGGGCAATTGAATCGGAAGTTTTAGCACCCCGAACCGACTGCTAAGTGGCGCTAAACCGCGCTCGTTCAGCCAATTGGCGTGCTAATGAATTGCCAACAAGCAACATGAATTAGCAAATCAATTTCGAGTGATAGATAAACGAGAAACCAAAAAAATAAAAGCAACAACAGCAGCAGCAAAAACTGAACAGAAAACGAAAAACAAAACAAAAACAAAAGCACCGACAACATTACTCTGAGCCATTAGTGAGCATGCGAGCTATCAGCAAAAAAACTAAAACAAAAACCAGATAAGCGATAATAAAATATTTTTGATATGGTAAACAGTGGGTAGAGTTCTGACGCTTGGACTATTAACTACTGTGCGCTGTGTGATGGGGACAATTCATTAATATGTTAAATGTCATGCAGTTTGTATATAGCGTACGGAAATTACATTGAGCGCTGCCAAATCGGAGTTCAACGCACGGAATGTCGGGCCGACGGAGCGACGGGGCGTATGCGCAATATGACCTACAGCAATTCATTTGGATTTAAATAAATTTAATTGCGTGTCGTTCACGTGAGACTGCGACTCGGCTAAACCTATGCAAATTTATGCGTCGCGTTTCACAATTGCAGAATGAGCCAAGGTGCCGGCGTTTGATCAGCTTTAGTCGGCGCTTGATCACATTTGCATTATCAATTGCGCTGCAGTAAATATATATGTATATGTAGTTGATTTCAATTGTATTGAAATCGCCTCACGAGAGACTAGGGAGCTAGTGTGTGGCAAAGCGTGCCAGATGCTAGACTTATCAGAACTCGGCCATTATATGAGTGGCTTTAAAGGCATCTGCTAAGCAAATATTTTGCCACCTTCGAGCGGGCAAACTCAACAATCTTTGTCCAGATAATGTCGCGTCAGCATCAACTGACGCATTATTCAAGTTCTGTGTGATTTTCTTGGTCTCTTTGAGCAAATAGCGGAAATTTATCGCGTGACCTCCTGCTAAACAAATATGCGCAATGATATACTATTTCTTTTATATTATATTACATATTTTTTTGAGGGATCTTGAATCGTGGATGTTTAATCTTGTACTGCAACAATGTATTTTAATTTTATTACATTAAAGCTTTTAAGCAGAGTTTTGGTTTATGTTATATTAGAGGGGCTGTAAAAGTTTATTAGGCAAATATATGAATTAGTTGTTAAAAGTGGAACAAAAGTTTCATTGGCTTAAAAAAAAGCCGGACTGGCATATAATGCGATAGAATTAGATAAGGGTAACATGTGTCTGCGAATGAGAATATGACCCTGATGCGATAGATCAGGAACATGTTATAGACTAAATGCTAGCCCCTAAAAACTCAGCAATAAATTTTAGATTGCATGTAATAGACCTATGATGAGCCCTATCAAATTTATAGTTGATTTATTGCCAGACTCAGAGGTATAAAATTTAATATCAACTGAGCTTTAAGGTAGTTACGTATATTCATTCTGTCTAAGGCAGTTTATGCAAGTTTTAATGGCAAATACTATCCATTAATCATATTCTAGCTAGTTCTCTAGTTGAATAACAAACAGTTTAGAGCAGTTTAGGTTCTGCAGTCCTAAAAAATCCACTTTGCTTGATTATGAATCTGAAGTTTTCAGCTCGAGTTTTTGCTAGTTAGATAACCTTATATCACAAGCCAGATCTGAAAATACGAGCCTGCAAGCATCTGAAATATTTCCTTGCAATTTGCATTGATTTGTAAGCCAAGCAAAGGCAATAAATTACTAGCGCACATTCCATGGCAGGCGCATCAGACGTTATTTAGATATGCAAACAGCTGAGGCTGCATATGGGAATTCATTTTATTATGCCATTTGCATGTTTAAACACTCGATTTGTTTGCTTGGGCAGCCCTTAAGCTGGGCTCATGTTTCATTTATAAGGCGTGAGCAAGTGCAATGTTTGTCAAATTAATTGGCACATGCATCAAATGCGACAAGCTCGCAGCTTCAGCTCGTCATCAGCTGAATCGTAACGGGAATTGCAGCGACGACTCTGATGCTCCGCAATCTTATCGGGTTCTCATGCTCATTTCCGTAACGCACTCGAAATAAAATACAACGGAATGCAACAGCAGATGAATAAATATTTGCTGAAATATCTTAAATGTGAAGCATGTCATTCGTCACAATAATTTATTATTCATGTAAAAAAAGGTAAATTTGTTTATATAAGAGGCAAACACTTTTTTTTTTTACAAATTCACAAAGGCTGGAAAATTTTTGCTTTGCATTAAATTGATTTATTTGCCAGGTAATAATAAATTATATTTTTTCGACTTTTTGTTTTTGTAGTTTAAAGTTTGTACTATAAATTTAATTTAGAAAAAAAAACTTAATTGGCCCTAATGACGGCGGCAACAAACAAAAAAAAAAACAATTATTTATTCGTACCTGTTGTACGCTTTACGATTATTATAAATTTGAGCAGAAATTAAGGGAACAATGCGACTGATTAGCCCCGATTAGCCGTCTGTTAATAAATATTTAATATTTAATGGCGCTTAAGTGTCGCATTTCCGCCAAAATGGCCTTAATTGACGTGCCGGCTAACTGCTCAAATTGGCCAATTACTATAATTTATTGTGAGACTTCAGCCAGCTAAATTGTTGATAAACTGTTTAACCACTCGCATTTGCATTGCCTTGCCTCACTTTGCTCTGCTTTACTTTGTTTATTTGCCTACGCAGTTGGCATATGGTATATAAAATTGGTACTGTTTGTCTTTCATATGAGTTAAGTGGCCATAAATGACGTCAGTTTTATTAATTTACATATGTGTGTGTTCTGTTGTTTTTGTGTCAGCCGAAAAGTATGCAACGAGAGAAGAGTTTACAAAATATTGTTCGCATTTTATTCGTATGTCAACTAAAATATAAATATATATCCACATGCATTTGCCAATTTGTATTTTTTGAGCAATTTTATAATAGTTTTTATTTAATAAAATTAAAGTGGTAGGTAAGGGCGGGGTTAAACAAACAATATTAAGAGTACACAACTTCTATGAAGCTACTTCACTTGGCTGCTGACAATTTGTAACATAGTGACATGTGATGTGTGTGTGGGTGTGTGTGTGAGTGAGTGTGACGACATAAAGTTGTAGAATATAAAACAGGCATTTCTTTAATCCTCTAGCGTGACATTACGAAACAGATACGACATAGACTCCTTGTTGTGGATGCGGCGTATGGCCTCGGCAATCAGTATAGATATATCGATGGTCTTTATCTTGTTGCACTGCAGCTTCTGAATCTCGTGTGGAATGGTATTGGTGACAACAATCTAGAAGCAAGAGATCCAAATTAGCCAAAGAATCAACAGTTGGAGATGCCCGTACGTACCTCATCGATGACTGATTCCTCGAGCAGGCGTGGCGCATCCGAGCTAAGCAGGCCGTGGGTAGCCAACACATAGATTCTGCAGGCACCGTTATCCTTCAGCATTTCGGCAGCGGCCACAAACGACTGCACATCATCGATCAGATCGTCCTGCAGGAAGACAGAGAGAGAGAGAGACAGATAGAGAGAGATATATATATTAACTATCTATGCATTGCAATACATACCACCATAATAGCTATGCGTCCATTCACATCGCCCACTATGGTCAGCGGCGGCTTCACTTTCACTGGATGCTCCGGCACACCCACCGACACCGAGGTGGTGCGCTGACGGCTGCTACTGGGTGCATGTTGCGGAGTAGAGTTTCTTGTGATTAGTGTCGCGTAGTTGGCATATTGAGCATTTAATGTGCAGAGTGGTTGTGTGGTGTGGGTGGTGTTGGTGGTTGTGGTGGTGGTGTCGAATCGACATGTGCAAATGTATATAGTATAGTGCGTTGTTGTTGTTGAGTTGGTGGTGGTGTGATTCGTTGTAGTAACCAAAAAATAAAGAATAATAAAAATGACAATACATAAACAATTCACAGTTCATTATAAGCCGAGCAAGTCGAGAGTATCGAGAATATATATGCAAATGTACACAGATTTATATTTTGTATATAAAATACAAACCTAGACGCCGCTGGTATGCACATTTCAACAGAATTTCCTAAAATATTGCTATACGCCCTGCATAAATAAAGAAAGAGAGAAATGTTTTTTTTTTCGTTTTTATTCGCTGTGCTGTGGAATTTGCAAATCCCAGCAAATAAATGCGTTAAGCTAGAGAATGAGCCAAAGCGGACAATTGTCTAGAAGTACAAATGAACAACGATTACAAGAGCTCATGGAGGTCATGGTTCAAGCTACTTGGCATGGTAGGGCATGGCTAGAGCTTGATGGCAATGACAATTAAATTAATGCTTGAAGGCAATGTCAATGGGCATTTCAATCGAATTAATGGCACATAATACAATATATGTATGTATGTATGTATATGTGCAGCTGCACAATTCTGTATAGTGAAGTATAAACAAGACTCATACAGACGGTTTCAGGGTTATGCGAGAGTTGTCAACAAAATGATTTTAGTTCAGCGATGATTTTGGTCTACACAAAGTTGATTGAAAGTCCAAAAATCTACATTATAGAAAGAGCTTGATAAGCTATCAGCTCAACGACTGTTGACCTATAAACCAAAACTACCACAATAAACAGCCAACTCTTACTTATCAGCTAATAAAACAAAGCGTTTTTCATGACGGATCCATTCAGATGCAAATATTCCCACTGTTTACTTAGCTTAGGATAACAACGAGCACAATGGATCTACAAGAGCCGAAGCCGCAGCCATCGAAGATTGCGATTGCTATCGAGAATGAAATGAGGACACATTCAAGTTGAAACAACAAACATAATTGTACGCGCTCTATAGCTACAACAATCGAGTGTAAACAAACAAGAGTTCGCCGAAGAAACAATATTATAAACAAATGCAAATATTTTGCAAAATATTTGTTTAGTGCGCATTGGCAAGATATAAACAAAGAGTGAGGACTCGGAAGAGTCGCTAAATACAGAAAGGGGAATCCGGCATGGAGCCTTACCTGGTGGGCGGTGGCGAATATCTGCCGTCAACCTCGTCGCTCTCAGCCTCCTTCTGCTCGCCGTGGATGACGGCCAGGCCAAGGCGCAGGCGCTCCGCATAGGAATTGGCCTTTTTGGCGACGCCCGGATTGCGTGCCACAATCACCGAGTTGCGGTAGTCGGGTATCTGCGTTGAAGAGTCAGGCCAAATCAAGTTTTAATACAGAGATGAGCACAACAGCCTCAACTACCACTCACGCTCTCCTGGATGTACTGCAGCAAGAAGGGCGAGGCGCGCAAGTTGTCAACGGGTATGTCGAAGAAGCCTTGGATTTCCTTCTGATGCAGATCCATGGTGATTATATGCGTCAGCCCAGAGGTGCACATCATTTTGGCCAGCAGCTTGGAGACAATGCAGCCGCGCTTGCGCATCTTGCACTGCTTCGAGTACGGCAAATAGGGTATGACGCCCACTATGGAGCGGGCCGAGGATGTCTTGCAGGCATAGGCCATGATCAGCAGCTCCATAATATTGTTGTTGGCATCTCTGCGTGGCATATTCACTATTAGCATTCACAATTGTTGATATATGTATCTATGATAGCTCACTTGGTGCCCGTTTGTATGATGTATATATCCTTGCCGCGCACCGAGTCGCTTATCTCGACGATGGTCTCGCGGTTCGATTTGTGAAAGACCGAGCAGCCGCCGTTCTTGAGGCCCATGCGCTCGGCCACCATGTTGGCCAGGTCCGGATGCGAGTTGCCATTGATGATGACAATGTCCGAGGTGGATATGTTGTCCATGTCGCTCCTGCAACGTTTCGGTGGGCGTACACTGCCTAGCCTGCAAGTAAACAAACAACAACAGATTCAGATTAGCCAGGCAATCGAACAACGGCCGACAACAAAACACGACGAGCACAAACCAAAATAATGCTAAAACAATAATGGAAACACTGAGCTGGGCGGTGGGCGGGTCACATTAAAGGATACCTGCGCTTGGACATGCTATGGGCTTGCTAGTTACGGGTGTTGCTTATGCACGGCGACAGTGGCTGTCACAAATACGTGTACGACAACGCGTTGCCCCACACGTCTGTCTTTAACTTATTATGTTCGCTTTATTGATTAGCCCCGTGAACTACTTTCAGCCAGTTGCGAGTGGTGTTATTTGCTGTGATATATGGTGTGTGTGTGTGTGTGTTTGTGTGTGTGTGCAACGCGCTGCAGGCAATTAAGTCTGCAACTTTGACAACGCCGTTGCCCAGTTCTCTGCTTTTCGCTTTTGCTTAATGCGAGTTGTGCGAAGTTTGCGCTGCCAAAAGTTAAAACGACTGCCGTGACGCTATTTCACTGTGGGAATCCTGGCCAAAACCGCAATGCCAACTGCGCGCGCTCTTATCGATCAAACAGAGGCACATGTGCACCAGCAGTTCAAGTATGTGTGTGTGTGTGTGTGTGTGTATGGCAACGTCAAAAGTGCCAAGCAATGCATTAGACAGGCCAGCGGCAGCCAACGTCGTCATCGCGGCTGTGTGCCACTCATTCAGAGCAGCTCGGGGCAAGCGGCCAGTGGCAGTTAATACCTGGGCGATAGAGCGACGCATAGTCTTCACGCTGATTGGAATCTATAAGTTTTAGCCAAGACATCGCACGCGAATTGGCGAAAGTGAAAGGCCCAAGTGGATAAATCTAAAAAAAAAAAAAAAAACACAAAAAAAAGTAGAAATAGAAACCTCCGGCTAGGCATAAATCCAAAAAGTGGGCGGCCACTATATGGGCGCTAATTGAAATTCTATTTCTGATTTGCCAGCAAAGCGGGTCAATGCGCCGCCAGCTGGATCCATCGAAGGAGACGCCTCGTTAGCAGGAGCAGCAGGAGCAGCTGTAATCCAATCAAGTTGCCAGCGGCATGGGCGATTCAGGTGAGTGCGGCAACTGTTCCTTTGCCTCCTCCTCCTTTTCTTTTTGTGGTGCAACGGGGAGGCAACGCAACCGCGACTATTCAATTTGACGTTTAAGGTGGCACTAAACAAAAACTTGCACCACTTGCGATAGCCGAGACACGCATACGTGCCTTCGGTCGAGTTTAAAGATAGAAACCGGGCAGGATTAACCTTTGCGATATGGTAAGGCGTTGCTGCTGAGACTTGTGACAGCCTTGCTGCAGGATTAGAAACTTGCATTAGTTGCCTTAGAAGAGTCCTAGACGTTAGCGGCTTTCGCGGATCGTTGCCAAGATGTTGGGCATTGCCTGCGATCCGTTGCAGCATACGAGCATGTATGATCGCGGCTCAGATGGTATTTGCCCAATAGATTCCACAATGCTCAGCCTACAGCTTACACCCCAGTGCGATTTGCATTCCATTGATATATTCGCGTACAATTGCAGATAGCGAGGACAGCGATGGCGAGGGCGGACTGGGCAACGTTTCCCGCGTGATCATCCGTCCGCCCGGACAGAGCGGCAAGGCGAAGCGCGGCCATTTGTGCTTCGATGCGGCCTTCGAGACCGGGAACCTGGGCAAGGCGGAGCTGGTGGGCGAGTTCGAGTACGATTTGTTTCTGCGCCCGGACACGTGCAATCCGCGCTTTCGCTTCTGGTTCAATTTCACCGTGGACAATGTGAAGCAGGATCAGCGCGTGCTCTTCAACATTGTGAACATCAGCAAGAGCCGCAATCTGTTCAACTCCGGCCTGACGCCGCTGGTCAAGTCCTCCAGCCGGCCCAAGTGGCAGCGTCTGCCCAAGCGCCAGGTCTTCTTCTATCGCTCGGCCATGCACCAGGGCCACTATGTGCTCAGCTTTGGCTTCAACTTCGACAAGGAGGAGGACGTGTACATGTTCGCCCTGGCCATGCCGTACAGCTACTCCCGCCTGCAGTCCTATTTAAATGTGATCGATGCACGCCAGGGCGCCGAGAAGCGGTTCACGCGCTGCGTTCTCGTCAAGTCTTTGGTATGCATGTCCCACTGTGTACTCCTCCATCCTATTCGCACCGATATAGCAATCTATCATCACAGCAAAATCGCAATGTGGATCTGCTCACAATTGACCAGGTGACGCACAGCCAGCGGTCGACGAACCGGCTCGAGCGTAGCTTCATACGGGTCATTGTCGTACTGTGCAGGACGCACTCGAGCGAAGCGCCCGCGTCGCATGTGTGCCAGGGCTTCATCGAGTTCCTGGTGGGCAATCATCCCATTGCGCAGGTGCTGCGCGAGAATTTCGTATTCAAAATTGTGCCAATGGTCAATCCGGACGGGGTCTTTCTGGGCAACAATCGCTGCAATCTGATGGGCCAGGACATGAATCGCAATTGGCATGTGGCCTCCGAGTTTACCCAGCCGGAGCTGCATGCCATCCGGAATGTGCTAAAAGAGTTGGATAATTCAGATGTGAGTGAGACGGGTGCAAAAACTGGGAAAATAAGCTTTACTGCAACTTCCTTTACTTCCGTTGACAGACCTATCAGATTGACTTTGTGATCGATCTGCACGCGAACAATAGCATGCACGGCTGCTTTATCTACGGCAACACGTACGAGGATGTCTATCGCTACGAGCGGCATCTCGTCTTTCCGCGCCTCTTTGCCAACAACGCCAAGGACTACATTGCCGAGCACACAATGTTCAATGCCGACGAGCGGAAGATGGGCAGCGTCCGACGCTACTGCTGCGAGCGGCTCAGCGACACGGTGAACGCCTACACGCTGGAGGTGTCCATGGCAGGCCACTATCTGCGCGATGGCAAGACGATCGCGCTGTACAACGAGGACGGGTGTAAGTAGTCTAGACACTTGCAGTTGGAGAGCTATCCTTATCCGCCAACTTCTCAGATCATCGAGTTGGGCGCAATCTGGCGCGGACTCTGCTTCAATACTATCGCTTCATCAATGTCCTGGCCGTGCCGCTGGTATCCGAGATGCGGCAGCAGGGCAAGCGACGCGGCAGACCGCGCACGCATCACTCGCGCTCGCGCTCCAGGACACGCTACGAGGTGAAGCCGCGGCCAAAGACGACACGATGTCATGCGCCCATAGCGTACACCAATCTGAGCATTTGCTACGACTCAACTGGCGGCGGTGGCGGCGGAGTGGGCGGGATCTCCTCAGACGAAGGCGGCTTTTCACCGACGCGTCCCATGCCCATTGCACCCGGCAGCAGCTGCTTCAGCGGCTATCGCAACTATCGACGCGCCGTTACCGCCAGCTGCGGACACCATGATCAGTATTCCCTGGGCACTAGCGAGCCTGCCGCTGGCAGTCGCCATAAACGACGCGCCGCCGCCGCCGCCGCTGCCGCACTGCCCATTGATGTGCCTGTGCCGCCCAAGCCGTACCTGTCCATAATCGATCTGAATCAGCTGACCCGTGGCAGTCTAAAGCTGAAGGCGAGCAGCTTCGATGCCGACGATCGGCGCTAGGTTCAGCTTTAATTGTGACTCGAATTGATTTTATATGCTTAACGCTTTTTGCAGTCGTTTCCCTAAATAAACAGTTATATCTAATCGACAGCTTTTTGCCTCGGGCAACAAGTTGGCACTCACGTTGAGTGAATTCTCACACATGCCGCAGACAGGTGATTGTACAGTGTGAGCTGCCTTGAGTGGACATCTAAGAGGTGTCTATTGAAGATGAGTCGAATAGAATATTTGTAGGTATTTTTGTGCTTTTTCTTTTTTATTGCAAGTTTCATTTTAAGTTGATTTAGCTTTTTTTTTTTTACCAAGTTCGTAGTTTTTTTCAAATTTACCCAAGCTACAGGAGATGTCCTCTCAAGGGAGCCTTTGCTGTACCTAAATCCCACGCACACATAGGCATGTATATGTATGGTAATTGCGGTATATTGTTGCGCATTGCTTCGTTGGCCTGATGCCAGACAGAGACACAACTCACACAAAGCTCTTTCTTGCTTTCTCTCTCTTTGCTCCTCCACCTCCTTCGTGTAGATATATCAACAGCTCATGAGCCCATGCGCCAAATTGGCGTCGACAAGTGTAATGCGAGTATATTGCGGAAAATATATACAAATCGCAGTTAACTGACACACACACACACACAAGAACAAACCGTACATTAACACGAACACGCGAAACTTGTAACTTTTCCCTAATGGCGCCTCATTTCAAAGTGTCGCAATTTCTTGACTTTTCAGCCTAAGCGAAATGCACGTGAGTTCTAATGTGCGTGGGCTGCGGGCTGTGGGATGTAATTAGGCAAAGTAACAATTCTAGCCGGGTGGCAATTATCTTATCGCGATGATTTTACAGTTTGTATATTGCATGTATACACAGTGGCTTGGGAGAAAGTACTTATTTATAAACAAGCAGATACCTGTTAAGAAATGCGCTCAAAATTTTTTTTGTATAACGAAAACACGCGCGATTTTTGTGATAACACAACCAAACAGTGGCCAACGAGCGACAGACACTGAAGCGTTGATTGATTAACGCCTTCAATTAATAAATCCGACGTTTGCTGCGTACACGTTCGAGGGCTCGAAATCAATAAAAGACACTTTATCGTTTTGTATAAATAACAGCGAATAGAATAAATAAATGGAGCACAAGAGCTGAGGCCAACTCCGAGAGCGGGCGTGCGAGCGAACGGGCAGCGTTGCCAGACTGACTCCACAGAGAACAACTCGGCAAACTAAATTGATAACAATTTTATAATAATAAAGTATTAATCAAAAATTAGTCTAGAAAACATATTTGTTGTACAACGATTTAAATAATATAGCTGTTATTGTACTGTTGTGTTGTTGCTATGCAACCATATTTTAACAGCTGGCGAGCTTGCCTAGCACTGGCAACGCCATAAGAATGAAATGAACAAAACAAAAGCCGAAATAAGCAAAATGAACAGATGAAGTAATCGGCAACACAATTTCGTACAAACACATACATACATATATACACGCGCATACACATACAAACAAGCATATGTCAACAGACATAACTAGAACGCAAATAAAACTCAAGTGTAGCACAAGCCGAAATGAAGTGGGAGCGATGTGCTATGCGAATAAGAATTGTGCGAAACAGAAAAAGTACATATAGCGAGGCACTAATTAAATTATATGGATAACACAAACGAAACGAAACGAAACTAAAGAAACCATATTCCGTTTTTTACTTGTTTCTCTGCAGTAGCATGTCGTTGTTTGAGGTCTTCTTGCTGTCAAAAACTTTAATAATTATTTATTGCTAACACATATACCACACTTGAGAGCGCGTTGCGTCCGCCCTGCAGAATTATTGATCGCTTTACACACAAATTGTTGCACTTTTCAAATAGACATTTATTTATCTTGCGTTGGGTACACGTACGACCGCTGCAGCTAAGAGCACAAATGCAACTGAGAATCGGCGACCAAATCAGACAATTTGTTCTTATTTTTGTGTATATCTATAGGGAGCATCAAGTATAGAGTTACGTTCAATTGTGTGTATTTCTCTTGGCCACACTCTGAAGCTGTTAGATAGAATAGACAATGCAGATGTGCTGTTATCGATATTCGCAATTACTTGGCACCATTTGTTATTATCTATTAAGGTGAAGTCGTAAATATAGTGCAAGAGTTAATTATGCTTTGTGTGCACACATATAAAAATACAAAACAAAAAAAATAGTAATGCAACATTTATTTCTAGCTACGGGATTTATTGTCATCAATTAGCGGAAAGCCCCTAACAAGTTAACCGATACGATTCTGTTAGCTTTCCGTATATGGAAAACTTTTATGTATGGGTTTTATTATGGCTGACAGTCCGGCAGCTCTATCAACACAAAATGGCAGCTCCCGCACTTATGTTATCGAAATTCAAACTCACATCGTTAGGCCAGCTGATGATTGTAAACAAATGAAGTAATTAAGCGAAAATGAGGTGATCATCTGAGGCCATCATTGCAGCCGGCTGCAAGCTGCATTTCTTACCCAAGAGCGTTGCGGATGAGATTGGTGCACTATTGCGAGAGAAAATAGCAAATTATGTTAAGCTGCAAATAGTGTGGATGCATATAAAATATATTTAAATTCAACGATAGGTCGACACAGTTGGCGCCTTAAACTATCGATAGATGTTCCGCGTACATTATATTTTCATAGATTAAAATACGAAGTAAAGCAGTGCACTGCTCTCTAGTGCTACTCAAACTGTAACGGCCAAGGCTTCAAAACTGTGATATGTAATGAAAATTAAAATATGTATATTGATCAAATCGATGGCTTTTATAAAAATACACTTCAAACTTCTTTGTTGCTGGGCCACTCTACTGCATAATTTGATTGGCTGTGCTTGTCAAATGCTTTTCCATTTCCTATGTGCAATTAGACAAGGTGAGGGCCAGGTGCACGCCGTTTCGGCTCATTCGTGTGGATAGCTCTAGACATAATGGTTGTCATTCTGTGCCTGCTCCTACTGCTACTTGCGACAGTTAGTGGTGAAAGTATTCACGTCGAGGAACTAAATAATGTTTTGAAATTGGAGCGCGAATTGCTGCACAACTTTCGCAGCTATGTGTCAGCGCTCGAAGAGAGAGTAAACACAATGAAGGGGTAAATATGGCGATAAAACAGATTCCATCAAAGAATTGTCCAATTCAAATAGAAGTTGCATTTACTTTTATCTTCCCCCACTTTTCCTCTTTTCTACTAATTTTCGCTCTTCATCTCCAACGCCTTATCATCTCTCTCTCCACCTTGCTCTCTCTCTCTCTCACTCCCCTTAGCGCTATTGAGGAGTACAGCTATCTGATAAAATACGTCGATAGACGCCCCGATCTGTTTATGACGAATCCGATATTTGGCTTCCGGCTGATGAATCACATTCGCTACGACTGGCAGCTGTGGCAGTCAGCGATGATGCTCCCGCTAGGCAGTCAGCAGATTGAGATGCAGCAGCGGCTCCTTGCGCTCGTACCCAAGGACGAAGCGCACACTCAAGCGGCGGAGAGTCTGCAGTCGCTGTTCAGGTTCTACAATTATAAGCCGGCTGCCTTCCTGATGCACCGGAAGAAGTACTTGAGGTGAGCTCTGGTTGGGGCTGCTCGGCCCACAGAATACCCTTTAATGGCGATTGCCCAAACAGGTTAGGCCCCTGGGACTACTATCACATGGGGCGCGAGCTGTTCGAGCTGGGCCAATACCACGAGGCACTGGAGTGGCTGGCCGTGGCCAGAGTCAACTACACCGCATCGCCCCACAACGAGCTGCTGGGCGCCACGGACGAGCTGATCAACTATATGCAGAGCAAGACGTTGAAGAAGCTGCGCCAGCAAAGTGAGTTGGCTGACGAGTCGCTGGACGAGCAACTGGAGCTGCTGACGGCGGGTCGCACTGGGTCGACGCCTGTCGAGGACGCCAGCGTACTGCAGCAACAGTGCAGAGGGAACTACGAAAGGGACTTGCAGTTGATCTGCGAGCTGAACACTGAGTTCACGCCCTTCATGCAGCTGGCGCCGCTGCGCATGGAGGAGCTGCTGTACGATCCCTTGGTGGTACTCAACAGGAACGGCATTAGAGAGCGCGAGATCGCGCACCTGGCGAACGCCTTCGAGCGCTGTCCGCCGAGCTCGATGCTGACACGGATTCCCGGCGTGAAGATCTGCTCCATTTCGAATAATTTCAGCCCGATATCAATCAGATTGATGGAACGCTTGGTCGACATGTCGGCAGCCAAACTACTCATGGACAAATTCTTTATGCTCGAGTATAGTCCACGTGATGCATTCAGGCTACAGGATCTATATAAGGTGAAGTGTCATCACTACGAAACTCCTTAAAATCTTTTATTTATTGTTTACTCCAGTTCTTGGGTGTGAAAGAGAATGTGGATGGCACGGCCCTGTTTTTTGTAAGTCACTCGGTTGTCCACCTCCTCTTGCTCCTCCCCCTAATCTACCCTCATTTGCTAGCTGAACGATATGGCTATGGGTGGAGCCATTACCGTGGCTGGACATGAGCTGGCCGCCTTTCCAAGTCGCGGCGATGCATTGGTATTCTTCTTCGAAGACGAATTTCGGATCACCTTCTGTCCCAATGTGGTGGGCAAGAGACTGGGTAAGTCTCTGACTCTAGTTGGTCATTTATTGTATTTCTCTTTTCCTTCTCCCTACTCACTCTCTCATCCCTCCTCTGCAGTTCTCATTCAGTTCCTAACGCACGAAGAGTGAGACGTGTTCTTCACCAATTCTCTGCAATCAATAAATAGAAATTTTATTTCAACTCATTATGTGTAGGATTTCGAAATAAACATTCGCATTTGGTGAAGTGAGAACATATGATTTTTATCTACATATATTTTAGATGGAGTCAACAACAGATATTATCCGTTACGCAATCAAAAGTTGTATATTCCAAACCCTAGTTACTCTTGAGTTACTTGATTAGTTTCAAAATAAAAATTAGTTTTTGTTTTTACAGAAAAAAAAACGCATAAATATATATATATATATTTTTTTAGAGAAAAAACTTAATTTCAATAATTAAATTAAGATTGATTCACTCAATTATCAGTTTAATATAGCCTGTGCTGTAGCTAATTCATTTCACCTCCGTCCGACCAAATTAAAAGCTGTTTTCATGCAGCTCTAAAGTTTTTAATACAATGGAAATACTGCGGCTTAGACTATGTTGGAAACTTTCGGATGTTCTTGGCTTTATTCTGTTGGGTATGCTAATTCAGTCGATTGAATCTTCACCTCCCACCACGGTGGAAAAGCCCCTGATAAACAAACTGCATCTGCTGAAGGTGCATAGACAGCTC